TAGTAGATAAGAAATTATTTTGTAGCCAAACTTCATTTGGCATCGATTTAGGGTGGCTTTTGAAAAATGTTTCATGGCATAAACAAAAAAAAAAAGAATTTTCTATTTCCTCTCTATGTCATGTTTTTGTTGTTATGCTTACGCTTAAACACCCCAAATTGATGATTAAGTCAAGAGTGTGACCACTCAACACAACTGGAGAACTTAACTTTTTATTGATTACATTTTCATTTTCATTTGTTTATGACACTTGAGTAGGCTAAAAATGTTTTCTGAATGACTATCTACTCTATCTACTAATATATGTGTGTATGTAGGCGTGTACGTACACGTGTTTGTTAAGAAGATGGTGAAAGTGTTAGAACACCACCATCATTTCATATTGGTGGTGCCGGTGGTAGCGTTGGTGATGGTGGCCTGGGTTGCATCATTTGATTCCAAGGGGTGGGAACAATTAACCGCACATATCTACATATGTAGATATTTATTTTGCGGTTGAATTTGCTAAACTCAACGTGTGCTACTTAAAACGCTGACTTGTTTGCTGGTCATTATTTAATCAAGATTTATGAAGCCGCAGAGAACAATAGCGAAATGCGAAATGCGAAAAGCAATGCAAGGCGTATCTTGTTTACGTTGATTTCGCTCGTAGATACACATAGTGTGTTGACTGTAGGGATGTGTGTGTTAATTTATATTTTCATGCATGTGAAGTGCTTGTTTGGATTTGAAAACTAAAGAAAAATTAAAATTATTTATTCTTACGTCGAGTGTAGTGAACGCTACTTTTGTTCATTATATAAATCTGCTGCTTACTTTACTGCTCGTATATACACAATAACACACATATGTGTGTACTATATACAACTTGGAGGTGGTTTCCCCCCCACTTAATCATTTTTATTATTTTATTCATTTTTTAATGCACTTTACGTGCTGAATTAATTACTCCCTATTTATAAACTAATAAATGCAAGGCGATTGGATCGACATTCTCATATGTACAGTGGAGCAATTGAGCTCAAGGAGTGGTTACTTTCTAACATACGTACATAAATTGATTATGTTCTTATAGAAACTAAAAAATAACATTTCTATACTAAACATAAAATATTGCAAAACATAAAATGTTGCTAAGCATCAAATTTTACCAAACATAAAATATTGCGAAACAAAAAATGGTGCCAAGACATCAAATTTTACCAAACATAAAATTTTGCAAAACATAAAATTTTACCAAAAATAAAATTTTGCAAAACATCAAAATCTAATAAACATAAAATATTGCAAAACATAAAATGTTGCCAAGACATCAAATTTTACCAAACATAAAATATTGCAAAACATAAAATTTTACCAAACATAAAATTTTGCAAAACATCAAAATCTAATAAACATAAAATATTGCAAAACATAAAATGTTGCCAAGACATCAAATTTTACCAAACATAAAATGGTGTTAAGCATCAAATTTACTAGACATAAAATATTGCAAAACATGAAATGTTGCTAAGCATCAAATTTTACCAAACATAAAATATAGCAAAACATAAAATGTTGCTAAGCATCAAATTGTACCAAACATAAAATATTGCAAAACATAAAATGGTGTTAAGCATCAAATTTTACCAAACATAAAATATTGCAAAACATAAAATGTTGCTAAGCATCAAATTTTACCAAACATAAAATATAGCAAAACATCAAATTTTAATAAACATAAAATATTGCAAAACATAAAATGTTGCTAAGCATCAAATATTACCAAACATAAAATATTGCAAAACATAAAATATTGCTAAACATGGAATTTTACCAGACATAAAATATTGCAAAACATCAAATTTTACCGAACATGAAATATTGCATAACATAAAATTTTGCAAGACGTAAAATGTTGGTAAGCAAATTCCTAGTAACATAAAATATTGTAAAACTTAAAATATAGCAAAACATCAAATTTTAATAAACATAAAATATTGCAAACCATAAAATATTGCCAAGACATCAAATTTTACCAAACATAAAATATTGAAAAACATCAAATTTTAATAAACATAAAATATTGCAAAACATGAAATATTGCAAAACATCAAATTTTACCAATCATAAAATATTGCCAAACATCAAATTTTACCAAACATAATTTTTTGCAACAATTTTTTATTGAAGTTCACACACGCCACATACATATGCATGAGTACAACAACTAAATTGTTCCACTGTCTCTACATATGCATATATTATTTGTACAATAAGTATATGTGTGCATGTATGTAAACATGTTATTTTGAATATTTGCAATAGTTTTATTTCTGTGCCTGTTGCCCTCTTATTTGTATTGTAAATCAGCAATTAAAATACTGTATAATTGCCGCTTTGAATTTACATTAAATAACTGACTAATTACACAGATAAGTCTATAGACGCCTTACTACAATATATGTATCTACATATATACATACATACTGAGCTATTGTCTTCGACTGACCACTCCACACAACATTCCCTATAAGCTTCAACTTGATGGGACTCTCATTTAATTATTATAATTTTTTTTTTATTATTTTTTTTTTAATTAACTCCTGTTTGCTTGCTTTTCCACCTTTCCATCTGCCTCAACGCCAACTCAAAGCCTTCATGTCGCAACGTTTCTGTTCTATTCTGTTCTCTTGTTGATGAACATACATACATATACTTGCTGTCTGATTTATCATGCAACTCCTTTGTTCGGTTATCCACTAAGCAACCGCTGCGCTGGTGGCTGACTGCCATCAGAAATTACCTTACTCACGCCAACTAGTATCTTACTAACAAACTACTGTTTGACATTCCACAGGAACATACTACAACAAAATTTAGCAAAACATAAAAAATAAACAGAAATTACATACATACATATCTACTTCACTTCAATAAGTTTCTTTCGCTTTAGTACTCGTAGTTGCCATAATAATGCTTGATATGGTCAACTTAGTGTGTTGGATAAGCAAGTAAGCTTGGCCTGAGTGAGTATGTGTGAGAGTATGAGAAAAATAAGATGTGTTCATGTAGCAACTACAAATAAAAAATAAATAAAAAAAAATACATACGCGCGATGCCAGGCAACCAGGCAGTAATCTACAACCATCCAGTTAGCCGATCAACTCGGCGAGTTAGTCAGTCAATTGGTTTCTTACATACATACTTACTTACACTTACATTTGTTTGGCGGGTTGGTTGGTTGCTTGCTTGCTTGCTTGGTTGGTTAGAGGCAGGAAAAATCGCGTACAGTTTGTCAAGATGCAAAAAAGGCTACACAACCGGTAGCAGCAAAAGTGTGGAAAAATGCAATAGACAACGTTTACCCGCGCTCACAAATCGTTTGGGGCTCTTGGCCGTTGTGTGGCTGTTAACTGCTGACGTTGATTGCCCAAGTAACAACACGTTTCCAGTTCAGCAGGCACCACCCGCTGCACGCCTCCTGCCACTAAACACATAAGTATGAGATTTTCCAGAACCCTCTTAGTCATCAGCCGTTCCTTGGCTTGGCGTTCGTTATTCCTTTATTTTTATTTTGTACTTTTTTTTGCTGATTACTTGGCTATGCAGCGTCTTTTCGTACGCCTTTTACGAAGTATTACTTAAATTAAAAATTAAATTAAATATTTTCTGTTGATGTCTTATATTGTGGAGATTGAATTTGGTTTCCTTGTAGCATTTATAATTTTCTGGTTTCTTGGTTTCTTTCAATTATTATTATTTGATTAATCTGATATTTCTCTTTATTTTGCATATGGTATTAGTGCTCTCTCCCTCTAAGCTGCGAACAACGAAACACATTTTTGTACAGCCGAAGCTCCTTAAATTTAGATTGAAAACAAAAATCATATTTATGGTGTGAGTGTATCAGCTTATATTTTGGGGGATGCAATTAATTTGGTACGTTTTTATGTGCACTAAAAATTGTTATTTATTTATCTGTCGGAAGCATCCACTTTTTGCCTTCCTTCTATTAATTTTCGAATAACATTTCTATGATCACTGGCCTCCGATCCACCAATCACTAAGCCATTCTTCGATTTCTTCCAGTGATTCCCCAAATCGTTTTACATACGTCGAAAAAAGTCGGTAGTCGAAAGACATATGGGTCACATTTCAGCGTTTACGGGTAGCTTTTGAGCATTACAGCCAAGTGAGGCCGAGCGTTGTTATGTTGCAAGATCAAGTTGTCATACCTTTTAGTCGTTTCTCTCCGTTTTTCATGCAATACTCGGCTCAAAATGCATTAGTTGTAGTCGTTATCGTTTCGCATCAATGGTTTCGGGTGACTTCTATCACTTTATACTTATATAAAGTATATAGTAGTCTGTACGGTAGGTTGCCCTCGACTTCGTATGTTTTTACGCTGTTTTTTTAGTATTATAACTTTTAACTTCCATGTTAAAATATAAATAAATGGAAGAAAAATTCCTCTCCTTCCTTTCTCATACTAGTCTAGGCAATGAGCTATCCTATCTATTTTCCAGATATGAAGCAAATCGAGTTATGAATACGGTTTTTCCGAACAGATCGGTCTCCGATTCACTTCAAGAAAGAAAAGTTCTCCTCGTACTAACCTTAGCAAATAGCATATGTAGATGGTTTCGCATATTAAGCAAAATTGGTCCAGTGAATCGCCCCCAGACTCACTTCCCATATTAATTTAGGCCTAAAGCTATCTCTGCTGCGATAAATAAAAATGATAATTCATCACCATTTTCTCGAATAGATCGTGCTCGGCTCTTGCTTTTCACATGTTTTCCATATACATAGGTATGTAAATCATACCATTGAATCGAGTAAATTAAGAACTATTCGATTTGCTGGTAAGCCTCGGTCAACGTCAGTATCCAGTACATAAATATGAACGTCAAAAGAAATTAATAATATATTTACAGTGTTTTTTTTTCACACCATATTTTAAACATTTTCTTACAATGTATTTATCTAACATATCTTCTTCACCCTTCATTTTGCAGATAAACGATATGACAACGTCCAAATAAATCGCATTAAAAAGTTGCCGCAATCAACAACTCGAATTAAATTAAATCCGCTCAAAAAGCCAAAAACACTGAAACGAAATACACTAGAAAAGGGAGGAAGAAAAAAGTGTCGGTGTGCAAAATGTGATACGAAGACGAAAATCTGTGAAAAAAATACAAGTAAAGAAAAATCTCGCTAAAAAATGCATAAACGCAAGAGAATAAAGTGAAAATTTTAGAGTAAGAAAGAAAATTAAAAGCAAGAAATTAACGACGTGAGCGATAAGCGAGCGAGCGAGAGAGAGAGAGAGAGAGAGACAGAAGAGAGAGAGAGCGAAAAAAGGCAAATATAACCGGTGGTTAGCAGCGAAATTCGCTAAGAATTTGGCTAAGCGGAATAACAATACTTACAAACTACGCAGTCCTTGTTCACGCCATCGCTTAGGGACACAGTCGTTGTGTGTCCATTTGTGTAGTTTCCCTTGAGTTGCTGCATGCAACACAACAACGAAGAGAGAGAGACCACAGCGCATACACAGAAGGTGAACCATTTACGTTGTTTTGTAATAAAAAAAAAAGCTACATAAAAGACTCCACACTGAAGCAGCCAACCTCCGATTTAGTTATCACAGCAAGCCAAGACAGCGAATTAGTTTATGAGATGGTGATGCAAGGAGCATAAAAAGCGCTTGGGTTGTAGCTATTTTTAAGCAAAACGAATGCAAACTCAATTTAACGACAAACAAAACACGTCTGGAATAAAAGTAAAAAGTGAAGAAAGAAAGGAATACCATATAATCTGGTCTACCCCACCACAGAGCTGAGCAGGGTTAAGAAACCAACAACACACAGCTGTAAGACTCACTGCAACGGCTGTCAGCTAAATTGAAAATTTTCATAAAAACTGGTCTTATTTGCTGCACATTTGGGGTGGAGAGAGTGGTAGCGACAGAGAGAGAGAGAGAGGAAAGACCGACCACCTGAAGTTGGAACGTGTCATAGCGGAAAGACCGCAGTCGTGAGCGGATTAAACGAGTGCGTTCGCGGTGTGAGAGCGTTAAGAAACAAAAGAAAAAAAAACTTACACGAAGAGTTGCAACGGGAGATAAGTAGGGAGAGTTGTTGTGATACTGAAAGTTTTTGTTTTTAGTATATTCAGTAGCACTGCATTCGTATCAGCAACGACGGACGGGTGGTGTGGGTACTGCTGCTCGAAAATAACCGCTGCTGAATTTGAACAACTACTTGTTTGGCCGGTTGCTTGCTGCAAGCAATAGGTAGTCACGCAACCACAACAACTAGTAAACTCTAGCGAAGGTAAAAAGTAGCAAACAACAACGACTCATACACACAAAACGCCAGTGAACAAGGAAGCAGTGCCAGCAAACCCTCTACATTCAATTAAAAATAAGGTGAAAAGGAAAACAATAGAGCCAGCTGCTGTCGGCTAATACCCTATATGTGTAGGCACAACAACAACAACAACAATACAAGCAACACTTTACACCTTTTGTCCTCAACGAAGTGGAAAATAGTCTGATATTAAGCAGGCTGTCTGGCTGACGGATTGACCAAGCTGAGGAACACCAACAGGCAAGCTGACAAAATTGAAAACCTACACGAAGAGAACAATAGTTTTCGTTTGAAGCACACGCGCGCGCGTCGGTTTCGCAACGAAAGAATTTGGTGCACCCAAGTGGGGTGGATGCGAGACAAACAGCACACAGGAGAGTATTAGTGTCGCTTACGAAAACGATACGTCACGTCACGTCACGTTCGAAAGCGAACCAAAGCAAACAACATCCGGTCGGCTTCTGGCTAGCTTTCATTCAGTTATTACTGACGCATTCGCAAATGCAAATTTCATACGAGTATTACTATTATGGGTCGCTCCAAGTTTCCGGGGAAACCGTCCAAGTCGATTAATCGTAAGCGTATAAGTGTATTACAATTGGAGGAGGATGCGTCAACGGCGGCGACGACGACGACGGGCACAGAGCCAGAGGATGGCTTAACAAGCGCAACAACGACACGCGTTGGTAGCGATAAACGCGGTGGCGGTGGCAACTGTGATGATGATGAGAATGGGCACAATAAGAAAGGTGGTGGTCCCGGCGGAGGCAGTGGCGGTGTGGGTGGCAGCGGCGGTGGTGAAGCCGGCTCGAGTAGCACAGGCTCGGGCTCCAGTGGCGGTGGCGCACGTAATGGCCGAAATGTGAATGGCAGCAGTAGTAGCGGAAATAGCGCCAACAACGGTGGTGGCAGCAATGGAGCAACCGGTGGAGGAGGTGCAAGTGCAAGCACCGGTGATGGTCTTGCCGCTAACAAACAATGTACTGGCGCAAAAACTGCTGAAAGTGCACAAGGCGCTGTTAGCGGTGTCAGCAGCAGCAGCAGTAGCTCCAACAAAGCAAAAAGTAGGCACAGCAATCGTGGCAAAAGCAGGAACAAGGATGCCAACGCCGAGCAGCAGCAGTCTGATAAAGATAAAAGAGTTGTCACCACACTTGTCAGCAGCAGCAGTAGTAGCAACAACAACAAGAATGACAGTGTAGATAAACTAGACGATGAAATGCGCGCAACGAGGCATACCACAGCGACTGCAACGGATGCTCTCGAGGGGGACGATATAGCTGACGATTGTTCTGCCACGGCAGCGCCTAATGTTAAGAAGCAACCACAAAAGCAAGACGAAGTAGACGGTGATACGTTGACAATGGAAGCCGAAGATGCCACTGTAAGTGAGCAGGCGAATGAGCATATGCAAGAGCCGGATGAATATGATGTTGAAGATGGCGACTGTGATGCCAATATGAAAGCTTATAGTGGTACAGATGAGGAAGAAGAAGAAGATGATGATGAGGATGAGTATGATAATGATAATGCATCCACCACTAGTCGCAAATCGCTACAATCTGTCTGCTCCACTGGCTCCTCAACCGTTTCATCTACACATACGGCAGCAACAACAACGACAACAAAGTCGTCGATAGTGACGGCATTGGCTTTCAGCCGCAGTAAGCGAGATGGTAAATTTAAAAACTTGAATCTTGCCAAGCCCGAAGTGATGTTGCCATCATCGGCGAAATTAAGGCAACTACAACAACAACAAAAGCAAAATCAGCTTAATTGCCCATCACCAACGCCACCGACAACAGCAATGGCAACAACGAGTGGTAGCAACAACAGCAATAAAACGCTAGCAACGACATCTTCGCCATCCGCCACTACAGCAGCAGCAGCTGCAGCAGCAACAACAACAAAGTGGTAGCAACAACAGCAATAAAACGCTAGCAACGACATCTTCGCCATCCGCCACTACAGCAGCAGCAGCTGCAGCAGCAACAACAACAACGCCGACAACAATGTTTTCGCGTATCTCGAATCCCTTTGCTGCTGTCGATGGCAAGCTATGTGCTGTGGCTGACACTGACGACGAGGAGCAAGAGGCAACACGCATCACTGCTGTTGATGAGACAAAAAATGGCAGTGTGTGCTCCAGTGCAGCTGCAGTGGAGGGTGATTGTAGTAATGGTGGTGCTGGTGGCGGAGGCGGAGGCGGAGGCGGTTGTGCTGACAACGATGGCGTTGCAGTGGTGAGTGTTTTTTGATTACATTTCGCTTGCTGCTTTTATTTTATTTTTATTTTATATATATATATATATTAATTTTTTGTGTTGTTGTTGTTGTTTGCACTGTAATAATATGCGTTTACGCGCGCCTTAATGTTGTAGACTGCCTTTGTTGTTTCTGCTGCAGAAGCTCTTTTCCTTTTTTTTTTTAATTTTTTTCTTCTTTAAATTCCTGTGTTTGATTCTCTCTTTCCCTCTTTGTCCTTATCCACCACTTTGTCCCCATGTATTGTGCTTGCTTATGCTCCTTTATGTTTTATATGTATTTAAACTTTTATGTACAATACATGTGTGGCTTTGTTGTTGCATTTGAAGCTTTTAGCTTTTGTTTGCGGTGTTGATGGTGTTTTCCTGTGCGGCAATTGCCCATACACTTTGCACTCCCGATTGTGTTGATCTTTTCTGGTATTTAAAAGGATTGATTCATCTTACAAATTGCTCTTTGAAAATCGCTGTTTTTTTTATTTTATTATTTTGTTTGTTTGTTGGCTTTTTTCTGTTCTCCTTGCATTTGTGCGGTTCGGTGTGTGTTTGCTTACAATTTTGACCGTTTAATGTGCGAGGTGTGGCCCCATTATGAAGAGCACTTTTGTTTCTTTAGCCATTAATTGTTGACTTTGTTAATGAGCACAATTATTGCACATTACAGAGGCAATAAGCGGAGTTTCCATTCTCGAACATAAACATACATATTTACATATATGTATATGTACATTAAAGTCATTAAATTGAATGAAAATCAAATGAACGTATGAACTCTTATCCCACCAAGTTTAGGGAATTTTTATAAATTATTTTATTTTTATTTAATTTTATGGCTGCGAATAAAATATATTTAACAAAAATCTGCCATACTGAAGTAGTGGCTCACGATTCCATTGGAGTATGGCCTGCCAAAGTTAGTCCGATCAATGAAAAAACTCCTCCAACATGGCGAAGGGTCACACTAATATTAAAATTAGTATTGGGATATTATAATAAATCATAAATTTTAAATTAAAAATAGATTTATTGTGTAAAGAGTTTCGTGACAATGTCAAAATCGCGTAAACTGACATTTTGTTGTTCTTTTTTTTGTTAAATATGATTAATTTTGTTAGTTTTTTTTTAGTGATATTAACTGAATATATATTATGAAATCACTTTGCATTCAAAAAAAAACCATTAAATATATTAGAAGTCTCGGAGCTTTTTAAGTAAAGTCAAAAAAATTTACGGTATAAACATTCATGGGAGTTCTTCGTTCCTCCTTATTTAAATAAAAAGCCTACAATAGAAGAAGTTGATCGCTAAACCATCCTAGAAAATAAGACAAAATTTTGCATTAATTTTAATAAAGTTTTTGAAGGAGAATTGTGCTACTTTATTGAACAAATCCGCAAAATTTGAGTTAACATAAAAAAGTGCTCAGACTTAGTATTTTGTATGTACAATGAGTAAGTTAACTCAATTTAAATGTTTATTATTTACATTTTCGCGTGATTGATGTGTATAAGTATAATTAGCGCCTTCTAACCGCTGAAGCGATTTTCCGCCGAGCTCCTCCTCCCATTTTTGGTTTGGCGTCCTGATTTTTTTCCAGCAAATGGAGGTACCTACAGTTTATACTAAGCCGCCTCCGAACGGCTGATGGTTTTTCTTACGAGGAGCATTTATTTCAGGTCCGAAATACATTCGCAGGGGTTGACATTCCCTGCCGAGGGGCGACCGTAGTTGGAAAATTTGGCTGAATTTTTTATTTAAAATAATTTTCTATAACTTTTCTTCTATCCGAATGGCAGTACGCAATGCTAACCACTCGGCTACCGTGTCCGCCAAACAAACAAATCTTATTTTACGACTATAGGATACCAGTACCAGGAAGAGTAAATATACAAATTTTTATAGCATCCAATTCCTTGAACAATTTTAAATAAAATGTTCATATTTGACAAAATTAAAAACCATATTTATTTCTAAAATACGTCGCAGTCGGTCTCACAGAAATCTAGAAGAAAAATTCGGGAGATTTCGGTTTTTTAACACTTCCCACATAACCCGCTGCCACGTATTTTCTGGCTGTGATAATTCTGTTTTTTTTATTGGAAAGGGTATTGATTCCATGGGTAGTTGGAAAAAAATGTTTCAAGAGTAAGAAAGGGAAAATGACTGATTGCTTAAGTTTGACGTGGTCGCCGAAAATCTCTTTGGTATTTTGTGTAATTTAGTTAATTAAATAAATTTCTCTACCTCTCGCCTGTTGCCTCAAATTAACGAGCGTACACTAAGTGGAGTTAATTGGCGCTTTGTAACCGCTGAAGCGATTTTTCAGCGGGCCGAGCTCCTCCCCCAATTTGTGGTTTTGCATCCTGATGTTTTTCCAACAAATGGAGGAAATTACAATTCATACTAATTGTTTAATCGAAAAATGGTCGACTATAGCATACAGCTCCCATCAAATATCCATCAAAAAAGTATATTAAGAGTAAGACATTCGTCATTCTGCACGCGTGTTTTCATATAAATATTGGCACCGAAAATCCTGGAAATGAGAGGACTATATCACAAAGCTCCATTACATCCGATTTATTCAGATTTGATGTTTTTTTTAGGTTAAATTCCGTCATAAAAGCGTATATAAGCGTACAATTTGGTATTCTGCCCACGTATATTCAAAAATATACTATACATTGACACCTAAACCCATAGAAATCATAAAATTTCATCATATAGCCCCCAAGTATTTTTTCGGATATAAGAATTAATATTTAATCCTGAAAGAAAGTACGCAGAACTTGATAAGATCAGGAAAGGTGTGAATAAAGGCATAGCCGAAGACAGCTCTTCTTATTTTTATCTCATTTCAAATGTTGATTTTCGTGAAACAATTCATCTTAATCTTATATACATACATTTGTACATACTCGTATTCTAAATTAGGCTATCTTATCCCAAAACTGAAAAATAAGTAATTATTATTTTTTCCCTTACTTTTATGAATTGTGAAAAGTATTTATATTCATACGTATATTTTTTTCTATAATATGTAGGGGCTGCTATTAATTTCCACTTAACTGAGTTATGATTCCTTTGTGGTCTTTATTCAACGAAAACAAGCCCCTTTAGAATTAAATACTTCACAAATAAAAATAAGTACATATGTATACATTTCTTGAGTGGCGGCTAAGCCAAGGCAATATGCTTGGTATACAATTTTTCTAAAGCATAATCATTCCACTTTTGTCACGCATCCATCCTTTTCACAAAGCGTACATGCATACATACATACATACATACATAATCCATATATATATATATATATATATATATATATATGTATGGAATTTAAAAATCCTGCTTTGTTTACTTTTATAAGTGCTCACACATACTTAAGCAAATATTTCACCCCTCTACGCATAACAACAATGAACAACGCCGCAAACAAATGCATTCTTATATCCTTCCCCAATTACACAGCATGTTTATTTTACCTTTATTTTCGTTTACTTATTCGCCTACTTTCTTATTTGCTAACCAAATATTATGTTGTTGCTCTTTCAGAGGCCCACCATGAAAACGACGAATGAAATGATGCCTTCAACCAACAGCAACCACAAACAGCAGTCCAGTGATAGTACGGCAGCGGCCGGTAACAGTATTGGCGATTCAACCACTTCAACTTTGGCAGCAACAGCAATAAGCGGTAGGGAAAGCAAAATATCCACAGTTACAGCGGCTACGACGACGGCGGGGTCCGCAATTAATAGCACATCGTCCGCATCCTCGTCATCATCATCATCGTCGACATCGTCTAATTCATCGTCGACGGGTAGTGGTGGCAAGCAGAAAAAGACCGTCACTTTCAAGAATATACTCGAGACGAGCGATGATAAGAGCGCTGTGAAGAAGTTCTACAATCCCGACAATCGGGCACCACTCATTTCTATTATGAAAAAGGAATGCCTGAATCGACAGCATTTATATTCGCGTAGTAGTGAGTGCATTGTGCGACCGTCAAGATTAACTGAGATACTCAAGAATAATTCAAATATCGACAAACTGAATTCCTTAAAATTTCGCACCAATCATACAACTTCAACAATGGCCACAAATGGTGATGGCATATCTGTTGGTGGCACCGGTGGCGGTGGCTTAGCATCCGCCGTGTTCGGTGGTACAGGACTCGCTTGTGCTTTTGGCGGACCAGCGGTCTATGCTAACGATCACAAGCATGACACAGTCGCCTTTAGATTAAGTGAAGCACACAAACCAATCGCCAATGGCTATACAAACGACATCAATCCCAAACGTGAGGAAAACAGTGATAGTAGCGAGTTTGGTGGCTCGACTGCAGCAACCAAAACAGTTGCACACGCGTTGGAGGAGGAGCAAACCGAGGCTGAGGTTGATGATGCAGAAAACGGCAAATCGCGCATTGAGGACGTGGCCGAGGATGACGAGGAGGAGCAACAGATAGTGGTTGACAAGCATTTTGTGTTACCGAAGCGTAGTACACGTTCTTCACGTGTCATCAAACCCAATAAATGGTTGCTAGAGGATGGCTTCATATGCCGAAGAGTGTCTCACCCCAAGCCGAAACAAACACATACAACTGCAACAACAGCTGCTACGTCAGTGTCAACGGTAACATCGACAACTGGCCCGGGTGTTGGCGCAACAAAGAAAGAGCAACCGAACTATTTCAGCATTGGTGATTATGCGGAAGCAGGCAAGGCGTCGAGCGATTCTTTAGGTTGGTTTGTCACCTGATTGATATTTATTTATTCTTACTAATTAAACTTTGCATTTCTTTCAGTTATAAAAAGTGCAAAGGAAAGCAATAAAGTCGCCTTTGGCACATCCACATTCGGTACGAATTTCGGCACCTTAAAGGCGAATAATTTTGTACTACGTCAACCGCGTTTGCAATTTGATTCGCTTGCAGAACGTACTGCAACATCGACAACATGCTTAGGCAGCTCAGCCACGTTGCCGCTATCCATAACGGTGCCCAAGACGCAGACACCAACGTTGAATCTGATGTCTTCGCTGTCTAATAGCACTACAAGCACGTTCGGCATGAACGGTAGTGCTAATAATTTGCTCAGCAAAAGCTCTCCAGGTGTGTATAATAAGGAATTTGTGTACGCTTAACGATGAGCTAAATTCGATTTATTCAAAAATTAATTTAAATAAAAAACTTAAGTTAACTAATTGCGGTCGCCCATCGGCAGGGAATGTTCACTCAATCGATTGTATTTCTGACCTGAAAAAAAAGTTCCTGAAATTCTGAAGCGGCTTAGTATAAACTGTAGGTCCCTGCGTTTGTTCGAAAAAATCAAAACGCACATCACAAATTGGAGGAGCAGCTTAGCCGGAAATCACTTTAGCGGTTACACAGCGCCTATTATATATATATACAAGACTAACCGACCTCGGAATGAATTTAAATGCAAAGCTTTTATTTCATGTCGAAAGCTCTCCACAGGGTTTGATGTTCCCTGCCGAGTAGCTATAACATATAAAAGAAAAAATTCTTATAAATTACTCAAACGAAACTTTTCTAAATGCATCGCATTCGGTGAGGCTAAAAGCCAGTCATATTTGCACCAATTACAAAAAATTTATAAAAAAAAATAGACCTAGACGCTTACGGTTTGTGAAACAATTAAGGTATACATTTCCTGCCAAAGGCAATCGGTGGTTAGAAAAATAATATTTTATAATTTTGGATGTTACTCTTGTCCTTGTTAAAACCAAATACGCTCCAGTTTTATTGAAAAATACACATAATTTACATATTTTATCTTTGTCTCTCATTTCTCTTCACCGACAGGCACATCATCCATCACTTGTAGTGTTTGTAGTACACCTATCCACGGTAGTAATTCACAACAGCCACGTAAATATGGTGTACCAGCGTGTGCGGCTTGCCGCAAATTCATCTCCAAAATCTCAAAAAACAGTTCGAATGCAACACTGAAAAACTCACAACTACACTGTAGACGAGATGGTGAGGGCGACAATTCACTAATTCACATTTCTTTGTAAACATAATAATTTCTTCATTTTCCCGCATTTTAGGTAACTGTATGGTTCAACCGCATTCAAAAGTCCATATCAAGAATTTCAAAAAAATCTACAAAGAACGTTGTACATCCTGCTGGTTGAAGAAATGTTTGCAGACGTTGCAGTTATCACCTGATGACAAGCTCAGTTTAAGTGCCGCTCTGCCACATTCTATACTCAAACAAGTTGAGGCAAAACGTGAACGGGATGCTGAAGAAGACAGCGAGCCTTTGGCACGTACTACAGAAGTTGATAAGCCTGAACTGTCCTCACCCAGTGGTATCTTTGGAACAGCACGTTTCAAGTGGAAGTCTTCTTTGGATACTTCAGCAAATGAGGGTTTGAAATTAAATTTGAAGAGCAATCCATTGGCGGAGAATAATGCTACATTTGGTAGTTCGGCTATTCTGCGACCGCCAATATTAGAGAAACCGTTGTTTCTTAAAAGTCCTATTGAGGCACCTATAACGTTGCTGCAACAAGAAAAGGAAGAGAAATCCCACAACACAAATACTAAAATCGATAACAAGAAGCAAGAACAGCCGTCACCAGAGAGTACACAGCGGGCGACAAAGAGCAAACGCAAGGAAAAGCAAGAAAAGGAGAAAGAATATGATAAAGATAAGGACCGCTCCAGTAGAGAGCGTGAAAAGGAACGTGATGCGGCTGCTCAAAAGTCGTCAACGACTAGCAAAAGCCAAGCCGCAACGCAAGCAGAGGTCGTCGGCAATGCGTTAGCGGTCAACACGAAGCTTGAAACTAATGAAATACACACAAGATCAGCTAAAGCGGCGTCTTTATCGCCAGCAGCAGTAACAGCTTCTTCGACCAACGCAGATGCAAGCAAAAATCAGGTTGCTACAACCTCAGCCGATCACGCTGTCAGTCAACCAGCAGTCGGTACTAATAATGCCTCTGTAGCGATCGCAAATAATTCAACGCCCCCTTCGAGCGATGGCTTGAAACGCCAACGTATCGACCTAAAGGGTCCACGCGTAAAGCATGTCTGTCGTAGTGCGTCAATAGTGCTCGGTCAACCGTTAGCCACATTCGGTGAAGAGGCAGACGAAGATGAGCAGGCACTTGCCTTAGCCGAGAGCAGCCAATTGACGGCGACGGCGGCAGCAAAGTGCGAAGAAATTGTGATTGAAAGTAGTAATGAGGCTACAACAACGACTGAAAACGCAAAGTCTCGTGATATGAATGCGTCAAACTCATCGCTAGATAAACAAGTGGAGCACAATGATAAGGTCATGCCGGGACGCAAAGGTGGCCAATCTGCAAATGTTACTTATACCAAACCAACATTAAGTGCTAAAGCCGTCATACCTGATAGTGGCGTGCCAAAAGTTGGTGATTATGTTGAGCAACCTGCTGCGAAGACAGCTAAAATCGAGAGCGATAAGGCCGTTGAGAAGAAAGAGGAGAACGTTGTGGTTGGAGCAGCCTCAGAACCTGCTGAGAAGGCTTTGTTACCTTTGCAGCCCGCTAAAGCAGTCACACGAAATTCAAACAACACCAACATTAATTTGCAGATCCAACGCTCCGCCTCAACGTCCTCCTATGCCACAACTTTCGGTAAGAAACCTATACGTCAAATCAGCAGCGATGCCAATTTAGCATATCAACAACAACAACAGCAACTGCTGCGACGCAAGGAGCCACAGAAGGCAAAAACATTGATCTCAATTGACTTCTGGGAGAACTACGATCCGGCTGAGGTGTGTCAAAGTGGCTTTGGCCTTATCGTCACAGAGACGGTGGCACAACGAGCACTTTGCTTCCTCTGCGGCTCGGCAGGCTTGGAACCTTTGATATTCTGTGCCTGTTGCTGCGAGCCATATCATCAGTATTGCGTCATGGATGAGTACAATTTGAAGCATTCCTCACTAGATGACACCATGCTCAGCTTCATGGATATATCCACAATGGGCCATAGTACCACGGCGCCCACACCTGAGCAACTCAATCAAATAACAAATCGTCTGAATTGGCTGTGTCCCCGCTGTACCGTATGCTACACATGCAATATGTCTTCAGGATCGAAGGTGAAATGCCAGAAATGTCAGAAGAATTATCATTCGACATGTCTGGGCACAAGCAAACGGCTACTGGGCGCCGATCGCCCACTTATCTGTGTAAATTGTCTCAAATGCAAGTCTTGCTCTACAACGAAAGTCTCGAAATTCGTCGGCAATCTGCCCATGTGCACACCTTGCTTCAAGCTGCGCAAGCGTGGTAATTACTGTCCAATTTGTCAGAAATGCTACGACGACAACGATTTCGATCTGAAGATGATGGAGTGTGGCAACTGTAACCACTGGGTGCATTCAAAATGTGAAGGTCTATCGGACGAGCAATACAATTTATTGAGTACATTGCCAGAGGCCATCGAATTCATATGCAAGAAGTGTGCACGTCGCAATGAAGACTGTAAAATGAAGGCAGCAGAATGGCGTCTCGCTGTCGCGGAGGAGTTCAAGAGTAGCTTAATGAGCGTGCTAAAAATGCTAAGCAAATCGCGACAAGCGTGTGCGCTACTCAAGCTTAGTCCACGAAAGAAAGTACGCTGCATTTGTGGTAATAGCACTGCAGCACAGTCAAACTGTCGTATGCAGCCGAAGAGTCTACAGTTCAATGGCGAAGCTGAGCGATTGCAATTCGCCTTGGGCAATAGCGATGGTGAATCTCAATGTAGTGATGTATATGAGTTCAAAGATAAGCCCTACGAGGATAAGTTTCCCGAGAAATGCACGTGTATGCTTAAGACGATCAGCTACAATGTATATGGCAATGGCAGCAGTCAAGCTAGCAATCTCAGTTTAATGGATATTAAGAAGAAAATCAACAATAACGACTATGTTTCGCTGGCGGAATTCAACTATGACATGATTAATGTCATACAGAGCGTGAACTGTGATGAATTGGTAATTGCATACAATGAAATTCTAAGTGAGCAATTTCCTTGGTTTCAAAATGAAACCAAAGCCTGCACCGACGCCCTCGAAGAGGACATGTACGAGTCGTGCTCTTATTCCATGGGTAATTCAATGGACGCACAAGATGATTTCGTCGAGGAGGAGCATAGTCGTTCGGTCATAGACCTGCCCGAAGACATTGAGGAAGTGCTGTACTCATTGAAGCCACGAGACGATTTACGCACCTGCCTTTTCTGTCGCAAATCTGGCGAAGGGCTGTACAATGAAGAATCTCGACTATTATATTGCGGTCATGACTGCTGGGTGCACACGAATTGCGCTATGTGGTCGGCTGAGGTGTTCGAGGAAATAGACGGTTCTTTGCAGAATGTACACAGCGCCATTGCGCGTGGTCGTATGATTAAGTGCACCGTTTGTGGGGGTCGAGGCGCTACTGTGGGCTGCAATGTAAAATCTTGTGGCGAACACTATCACTATTCATGCGCACGAACTATTGCTTGCGCGTTTCTCACCGACAAATCGGTTTACTGTCCGGAGCATGCGCGCAATGCGTTAAGAACTAATTCGGCGCTAACGATTGAGACGAACTTCGAAGTAGCGCGACCCGTATACGTTGAATTGGATCGCAAGCGGAAAAAGCTATTGGAACCAAGCAAAGTACAGTTCCATATTGGCTCGCTTGAGGTGAAACAACTTGGCACTGTCTTTCCGCGTTTCTCTGATACCTATGAGGCTATTATTCCGATCAACTTTCTTTGCTCACGGTTGTACTGGTCATTCAAGGAGCCATGGAAGGTCGTTGAGTATACAGTACGCACCATTGTACAGAACAACAACTCTACATTGACAGCACTCGATGCCGGACGCAATTTCACTGTGGACCATAGCAATGCAAATGTTTCCCTAGTGCAGCTGGGTCTCGCACAAATCGCATGTTGGCATAGTAGCCTGGCACGCGGTGATATGATGGACTACGAGGCGGTTGAGCTGCGCAATTCTACGTTGACTAAATTGTTGCCCGAGTACTTAATGCAGAGCCAGAATTCGTGTTCTGCGCCAGATGAAAATACCGAAGAGGAACCCCAAACAAACGCTGACTTACTACCGCCCGAAATAAAAGATGCCATATTTGAGGACTTGCCACACGATCTGCTCGACGGCATCTCAATGTTGGATATATTTCCGAAATTCATGATCTACGAAGAAATGGGGGCTACGAGTGAAGGCAAAACGGCTGAAATGTTCATGAATGAACAGTCGAAAGATGACGCTGCTAACTCGTCCGTCTCCACAGCAATACTGGCCGCATCGAATGCTGCCAGCAGCGGCAATTGCAGTGCTTCCAGTGCACAGGTATCCGATGAAGACACGGCGAATTCGTCGCTTAGCAAACAACTCGAGCTTAGTAATTCCTGCTCTTCAACTAATACTAATTTGGCAATCGGCCATGTTGAGGACGCATTGTTGTCCTGTGCACGCGCTGGCACAAATTCACAATTAAAGCGGACTATGAGTGCGACGGAACTGCAGCGTAGTAAAGCGGAAATGCTAAAGAAAACCTGGACAAAGTTTGAGAACGCTAGCTCTGCTGTGGCAGCGGCAGCGATGAAAAAACGCAAATTGTCCAAGGGTCTGCCAGAGCTACGCATGACGGAGAGTATTTTACAAAGTTTGAGTCAACATCGTACAAAAAAGGACAGCATTAGCACCTCCATTGCCGTGAGTGCTTCTCGTCGTCAATCCATTTCCAGCGAATCGGAAAGTGCCACAACACTGCGCACAAAACAATTCACTTGGAGTGCAGCAAAACGGTACATTGAACCGCATTTAGCCGATGAAAAGGATGATGGGAAAGTGAGGCTGATGCAAGTGGACGGCGTAGATGACTCGATTACTGAGTACCGTATTATCACCAGCGAAACACAATTCACCGGCACCGTCAAATGCGAGCGTTGTCATTGTACGTATCGAAATTACGACTCCTTTCAACGCCATCTGCCGACCTGCGAACCGCTCTCAACCAGCGAATCAGAGTCCGAGGCAACATCACGCTCACCAGCTTCAGCGACAAATGGCAGTCCGCCACTGGCTGGTATAGATGCTACCAACATCGATTTGAGCAAGTTGGGTCAGGCTCAACGCACGGCCACCCTGACGAGCACCGCCAACGGTTTGCCCTTTCTGCAAGCATTTTCCCAAGCTATACCGCTTGGTAGCATACAAGCGAATATCAATGGCATACCCATTGCGAATATGTCCAACGGCTTCCAAAGTGTGCAGGGACTACAGAACATACAGGGATTGCAAAACATACCCGGCTTGCAGAATATACAACTACAAGGCCTACAGACGCCACAACCACTCGGTGGTGGTTTCTTTATTTCGCAAGCAAATCCCGCAACGTCAACCACCGATGAAGTGCAGTTATTGAATTCATTGCAAGGCTTGACGGCCAACTTGAACGGCACGTATACATTAGCGCCTACCGCCGGCTTTGGTACTACAACAGTGCAAGCCGCGCAGCAACAGCCACAACTAATTGCCGTGTCCTCGTCACCCGATGGAACGCAGCAGATCATACAACTTCCATCAGGCGTTACAACACATGCGGTGAACAACCAGTCTCTCCTACAGGGCTTAAACACTTTCCAGGCGCTTCAAACGACCAATGGAGAAAAGAAAATTGTGCTGCCGTTGGCCACAAGCAATACCGGCAAACCATTGAAAACGGTTTCCACCAAGGCTGCGCAGCAAGCGACTGCGGCAGCTAAAAGTAAGATGAAAATAAACAGCAATACCGTCAAACCCATACAATCAAAAGTAAATACCGCCACCGTAACGGTATCGCAACCCTCTTTACAAGCCATGCCCACATCCACGCCGATAACGGTACTCAATACCGGCACTAATGCCACACAATTGCTCAATCAGAATTTGTTGCAACAAATGCAGGCTGCCGGCTTGACTGCCGCCACCACACAACAGCCGCAGTTGCTCTTCCAAACCGGCAACAATCAACAGCAGCCGCTCGTTATGCAACAGTTGAATGCGCCCAATGCTTCAATGCCACAGAATATTATCTCATTTGTGACCACTGATGGCACGCAAACGCCACAGGTGCAATACATGACCATACCCTCAACGAATGACTTTAAGCCGCAAACACAAGCAACGCCTTTTATCACTGCAACCGCAGCGCCGGCACCGGCAAATCAGTTCTTACAGGGCGCCTTTTTACAAACCGACGCCAGCGGTAATCTAATGCTTACCACTACGCAAACGCCGACTGGTTTGCAAATGCTCTCTGCGACACCATTAAATATAGCAACTGCTGCGCCGGCACCGCCGCAACCGCAAGTGATTGGTACGCTGATTAATCCGCAAACCCTACAGCTGGGCGGCAATGTAATTGCGACGACAGCGGATCCGCAGCAACAGCAACAAGTGATAATTGGTGGTGGTACGACGGGCTTAGAGATGATAGCCGCATCAAATGCAGCAGCGCCCCAAGTTATACTCTCAACTCAACCCATGTACTATGGGCTGGAGACAATTGTGCAGAATACCGTAATGTCTTCGCAACAGTTTGTGTCCACAGCCATGCCGGGTGTTCTTAGCCAAAATGCTAGCTTCTCAGCGACGACCACGCAGGTTTTCCAGGTATGTAATTAAAAGTAAAAAATTAATTTTATTAACAGGCACCGATTAAGTCTAGAGTTAAAAATAACTGAAGAAAGAGAGCAAATGTACACTGAGAATTGCGGTGTTTATTTTTTTGAATTTTTTATTCAATCTTCGGTATCTCACAACCTTGTGTTTTGGCATATTAAAAATTAGTTCTTACAACTGTCTGTTCTTTATACTGGCGCGATAATTTGTTGCTTTAAAGGCGAAAAGTATCCTCATTACTTTTCCTCAGAATAGTCATTACTACAAGAGCGTTTGAGGGGCTGTTAGGCTCGGTAAGATCATAAAGTGTTCAGTGACTCAAAATTAGTATAAATACGAGGTTTCATTGGTATTTGACTCTTTGAACTATTGTCAACCAAGCAACCAAGGGAACCGAGCATGATTAGGCCCCCACAAAAACAATAGCGCCTATAGTGTTCTCTGCTGTAATGGAGGGAAGGAAGGGTGGTGTATTGACTCGTGATGCTACTGTCGACGAAACTTGGCTACATCATTATGAGGCAGAATCGAAACAAATCTCGCACAAGGAATTTAAAGTGTCACAGTAAGCTGGAAACTCATGAATAAATGCGATTTTTACGAATGGAAAGAAAAGTATTCACCACCTCAATTTAGGTACAAAATTTAATGTAAATTAGACGATTTGAGAGTAAATTCGAAAGTTTGGTCCCAAGTCCTCTTTCCAGAAATTACCCTTTCATCGGATGTGTACATTATAAAAAGAACGCACCTCCAAGTTTAAGGTCTCTACGATCAGTGGTTTAGGATGTGGGTGGATGGGTCAGGTATTCAGGTCAATGCCAAATATATATATATATATTTTTTCCCCTTCGATGGAATGCTCCGTTTATAATTCCACATTATATAACTAATTTTAGGCTAGCAAAATCGAACCGATTGTGGACATGCCAACGGGATATGTGGTGCTCAACAACGGTGACGGAACATCTTCAATCGTGCAGGCACAGCAGCCGGCGACTTCACAGCAACCGAATTTCCTTAATGCAACAGTATTACAACAAGCGCAACAACAACAACCTGCACAAACCAGTGAATTGCAGAGCGGCGAGCAACCATCAATATTCCGCCTGCAAACAACCGACAACAGCATTTCAGCCTCTGTCACAGCAGCAACGGTTACACCAAGTGTTTCCACGTCAAGTTTCCATTTCCAGCCACAAACACAGACGCAGACTTCGTCACAACAGCAACATCCACAATTAGTCGATCAACATCAGCCGCAACAACAGCAATCTAGTAATAATGTCCACATTGTAACGGCGAAAGTGCCGCCAGTCGCACAGGTGAAACGCAGCAACGCGGTTAAGGCAACACCGCTGGCGACCGTCACAAAGGTGCTGCCACAACAAGTGGTGAATAAGGTGTTGCCCACCACAATGATGCAGTCGACACAGCATTCGGCGAAATTGAATGCCAACAACAACAAAGCGCAACAGCAAACATATGCACGTAATAACGCGACCACAACGACAACAGCCGCGAGTACAGCAGCTAACGCATCAGCAATTATAGCAGCAGCAGCAGCAATCGCCGAGCCGCAGATTACATTGACACCAGTGACCAAGGCCATGACGAGCCAACAGTCCAATAGTATTGCGTACGCAAAGGTGTCCAGTACAGCGGCCATGTCCATATTTGTGACCTCTGTTGCTACAACAACAACAACATCCACAACACAAGCAGCGCCGGTGAAGACATTGCCGAGTGCGGCGTCTACGACGACCACGCGCAAAACCAACCTTATAAGACCGATCCCGGCCAATAAAGCCGAGGTGAAGCCGAAGGTGATGAAGGCAATAGCGACCACAACGTCGGCAGTGGCAGCGCTCACAGCTGCCAAAGGAGTGCAATCAGCGCAGCGACAATTGGCCCAACAGCAGCAGCAGCAGCAGCAGCAACAACAACAACCACCACCACCACAGCAGCAGCAGCCTCAGCAGCAACCAGTTCAGGTGTCGCAACAGCAGGTGGCAAAAATGGCAATGCTAAAACCGCAACCGCAACCACAACCACAGCCAGCTCAAGTGTGCATGCCCCATGTGCAACAACAGCAGCAGCAGCAGCAGCTCCACCACCAACAACCACAACAACAATCACAGCAGCCACCAGTGGTGCAGGCGCAACAATTTGTCGGCGAACAAGCGCACACTGTCGTGCCCACGTCGCAAGTACCCACGCAACCAATGCATGTGTCATCCAACAACAACAGCAACAGCAATGCGAATAATAATAAATTGTTGGAGCTGCAGCAACCAGTGGCCGCGGCGTTGCAACAACAGCATTTCGCCGAAGTGCCAACATTGCAACAGCAGCAGGCTTTCAACTCAACGGCGACCAATGTTATGTACAACAATAGCGTTCCCACGGTACAAGAGGAGCAACATCCACAAGCAGCGCATTTGACCAACGGCAATATAACGCCACACAGCTATGATTGTAGTAATCAACAACAGCAGCCGCAGTTGCCACACCCGCAACAAATCGAATTCAACAGTCTCAGCTTGGAGCAGGTGGAGAGCTTTCCACCGCCTACGCCACAAGCATCTCACGAGCCGGAGAGCAGTAATATTTTAGCTATAACACACAACTCTAATAGCAATGGACCACTTGGGGGGTTAGTCAACAATAACAGCAACGGCAATAATCGCTGTTTACAATACTCAAACTCGGCATTCAGCAATGTCAATGTCCCTACGAATATTGTGAATCCCTTGCAGCAAACACTACAGTACAGCAATAACAATGGCAACAATGGCAATGGTAACGCCACCACAACAACAACAATGGGCTCCCGCCCCACTAATCGCGTGTTGCCTATGCAGCAGCGTCAAGAGCACATAGCTGCCACAACGCCGCCATTACAGGTGAAACCGCCCGCCGGTGTCATGCCAAAATTGGCGGTGCTGAATTCAGTTGGCGCCAAATGTTTTGACAACACCAATGCGGTGAATAGCGCCAAGATTTACTATGAGGCCGAGGTGAAGAAGGATGAGCAAATGATGCATATACTACACTCACCACAGCATCAGCATCAGCATCAGCACCAACAGCAACAACAAGTGATGCAGATGCAACTTCATGAGACGCACCAGGAAACGGCAAGCATAATGAAATCACTTTCGCCAGAGGCGCACTACGTAGAAGATGCCCTCAAATGCGACTTGGATTTAATTGAAACTGAGACCACGCTGTCGACGACATGCCAACAGCTACAGGAGATGGTGCACAACAATTTGCCGCGCTACACCGGCACCTGCCTGGTGGCGAATGAGAAGCCTAAAGAACTCACACCCACACCGGAAGAGGCGTATTCGCTTAACGGCCACGTGGATGCGTTGGGTGGTAGTGATATATGTGAGCATGATGGTGAATGCATAGACGACATGGATGACGATGAGGATGAGGAGGAAGACGAAGACGACGATGGTTTTAGTCTTAAAATGCCGACAGAGGATGATGACCACGATATGTCCGACAGTGATGAGCCTGCGGTGAAGGAGAAAATCAGCAAAATACTCGACAATTTAACAAATGAAGATTGCGCCGACTCTCTGGCAACAGCCACTACAGCCGAGGCAGCCAATATTGAATTGAACAATGTAAGCTACCTAAACGGTATGGCGAGCGCAAACACTAAAATGACTTCAAACACAATTAAATATCAAAATAGCATGAACAATAACTATGCCAATGTAACGGCAGAAGAAAACGCTGCCGTTGCAGCAGTTGCCTCAGAGTACATCTCCCAAATGGCGGCCAAGATGAGTGCGCAAATGCCGAACGGCTCACTAGAAGTAATTGGCACAAATTTCGAATTGCAGAAAATTCCACCAAAACATCTGCTACCACAAATGCCACTCAATACAGTGCCCTCCAATTCAGCATCGCATCCATGCGACGAAGAGGTAACCGGCGGGACAAACACCGCACGCATACAAGAGCCTTTATTGGCGACGCGGAAGCCAACGCCACCACCACCACCACCGCCGCAACGCGATCCCAAGAAAATCAGCGGCCCCCATCTGCTCTATGAAATACAAAGCGAAGATGGTTTCACCTACAAATCCAGTTCGATCGCTGATATTTGGGAGAAAGTTTTCGAGGCCGTTCAAGTGGCACGACGTGCACACGGTTTATCGCCACTGCCCGAAGGACCGCTTGCAGATATGGCTGGCGTGCAAATGATGGGTTTGAAAACGAACGCGCTCAAGTATTTGATCGAGCAGTTGCCGGGTGTAGAGCGTTGCAACAAATACACGCCCAAATACCACAAGCGTACAAATGTGGGTGCGCATGCCGCGTCCACAAGTAGCACTTCAACAACGTCGAATAATTGCGCTGCATTGCCTGGCACAACGCTTACCGGCAGTAGCAGCGATCTGAATGCAACACTCGATTACGCATCGGATCCCGATGAACTGCAAGAAAATCCTTACGAAAGTGCGCGTTGCGAACCGTATGCAACGCGCTCCGAATACGATATGTTCAGCTGGTTGGCATCTCGACATCGCAAGCAACCCATACAAGTGTTTGTGCAGCCATCCGACAACGAGCTAATACCAAGGTAAGGATTGGTTTATAATTAAATATGAATTTCTGTAAAATTATTTGAAAATATTATATAAATTTTTAGGCGCGGCACTGGCAGTAATCTACCAATGGCTATGAAATACCGTACGCTCAAGGAAACTTACAAAGATTATGTTGGCGTTTTCCGCTCGCACATACATGGACGTGGTCTCTACTGCACAAAGGACATTGAAGCAGGTAAGCTGCGCTTGATTGTCAATCGAATTTTTATTTCGATTACATTAACGCTATTTTTATTTGTTTTTCCATAGGCGAAATGGTTATTGAGTATGCAGGTGAATTGATACGTTCCACTTTGACTGATAAGCGTGAACGTAACTACAATAGTCGTGGCATTGGCTGTTATATGTTCAAGATTGATGACAATTTAGTGGTGGATGCGACTATGCGCGGCAATGCGGCACGCTTCATAAATCACTCGTGCGAGGTAAGTTGATGAAGTGGTGATGAAAGAAATATACTTAATATTGTTGATTGCTAAAGTTTTCAATTGTTATCGGGTTATTATATAATATAATAGTTAGATAGGCGATTCTGCTTCTCAAAAAATCCACTTAATTGCATTACAATATCCAAACCTTAACTAGGCCAGCATTACTCCGGTCTTCCGTGGCAGCTCGAGCTCTAGGTCTGCAATAGCTGGTGGTTAGATTCCGAGTACGCCATGCACGGGAAGAGTGTTCATTAAGGTGTTGACGGACATTCGGCGAATTGCGCGCAAAGCCTCTCAGTATGCCGTCTTGTTCGGCCTTTCAGTTCTAAAGTGTTGTATGGTATCTTTTCATTCAACCATTCGACATGTTCAGACAAGTTTTCGCTTGCATCAATTTTTAAATGAAAAGTTTCAAGTTTTCTTTTCTGTACAAAAAAAAATTGATAAAGTTAACTGTTAAATTAAACATTTAATGCTAAATATATAGTTATAATATTAGCGTGTCAAATCGTTGTTGTTGCTGTTGTAGCGGCAAAAATATTCCCGAAAGTAGTTTTTGGAGAATCTTGCGGGATGGACAGTCCTTGGATGGATAAAAATCCCGATCGTTTTTGCATAAGTACAAAGTGGTTTTTGGGGAATCTTGCGGAATTGACAGTCCTTGGCTGGATAAAAATCCCGAACGTTTTTGCATAAAAACCGGACAGTCGCGGAAAGTTTTGGGATTTAGTCACTTCTTACGGCAGGCATGCATTACCGGGTGACATTTCTTGAACCCCTACCTCGCAGGGTGTCAAATCTTTTCTACTCGGCTCATATCATACCTTGTTGCATTATATTTTTAACTATTTACAGAAAATGTATGTTAAGTAATTTTTTCCATGAAAAGTTGTTTAATTAATATCCATTTTTTGTCTTCTTCTTTACAGCCTAATTGCTACTCCAAAGTGGTTGATATACTCGGACATAAACATATAATTATATTCGCTTTACGACGCATCGTACAAGGCGAAGAGCTAACCTATGATTACAAATTTCCATTTGAGGATGAGAAAATACCCTGTTCCTGTGGCTCCAAACGTTGTCGAAAGTACTTAAACTAAAAAAAATAGAAGAAAAAAATCGAAAACAAAAATAAAAGAATAACCCACAGGTTTTAAACTACACAGATTTTTATAGTAAATGAAGGGGGTGTTATAGTTGTCACTTGAAAAGTGCAAAGAAATTCAAACGCAAAAATAAAATGTCTCGCCGAAAACAATTGTACATAACCTTCACTAAATTTAATTGCATAATACGTGCATAGCAGCCTACGCTCATATATGTATGTGCAACATTTAGTGATTGATAACTGACAACGCAAGCGCGCGCCGTCTTATGTATATTGTAATTGTAATGTTGTGTACAGTTGTGAAACTCTTGCGTGTTTTTTTTTTTTTAATCGAATATGTTGATATTAATTGCTAAATTTTCAGACATGTCAGTATTCAACAAAAATTAACTTTTTTGTCTGTGTTTAATAGGATTTGTTTTTAATTTAATTTAATTTAGCCACTAAAATTCACATACACATATATATGATGCATGCACTTAGGCACAAGTAACAAAAACGTGATTTATAATGGAAACTTAATTAATTTATTTTTATTGCTTACACATATTTACGTATAGTTATATTTATATATATCTATATATATATGCATATACATATGTGTATGTATATACAGAAATATTTAGGCGGAATGTTAAGAATTAGAATATAAAATTAATGCATTAAAAAAAGTATGTTACCAACGAAGGAAGATTTTTATTATGTTCTTACAATGTATGTATTTATTTAATTAAAAGCTAAAAAATTTGCATATATATGTATGTACGTATATGGATAAAAACATGAATATAATTATGAACAATTTTTAATAAAGATATGTTGTTATATTGATGATTAACTAATAAATAATATTTACAAATATATATATATAAATATATAAATTATAATATTTGCTTAAAAAACGAGAGTATATATGTATATATATATATATTTATAAGTGTAAAAAATATTACTTAAACAAATTTGTAAAAGTAACAACTTTAATATGTTAAAACATTAACTATGTATGTAATATTGCTATTACTTGCATTCAAAGTCAATGTATGCTTTCAAAATGGCGGCAATATGCCGCAAATAAAAAACTAGATTATATTTAGGCGCACAGCATATAATATAAAGTATATTGTAAAATTCATCGCTACATGTGTGCTCTAGAAAAACAAAATAATTTTAAATATTTTTGTCATTTCTCTTTTCTCTAAAGATGAATATGAGATGCAAAAAAAATTTATAAATCATAAACAAAAATGTCACTCCTCTACAGGGTAACTTTTTATTATTATTAATAAATACTTGTAAATATTTGAGAATAGCTTATATTTGTAAATATTAATTAAAGAAAAAGCATGTATGCAAATATGCATATTTTTTATTATAATTTTCATAAATATATATATGTATTGTATTTTACTGTAAGATGGCGTTAAATTAGGGCATACGAGATTTTTATGTTTAAGCGTCAAAGCAAAAAAAAAATCAAATAAATAAATAAAAATGTATTGTGAGACTTAAAACTGTATAAGAGAATTGTGAAAAGTTACGATAAAAATATATATAGTTGCATGAAATATGCATACATACATAACATGTACATATATTGAATGCGACCAGAAACGAAAATTATATGTTATTACTGGCAGTTAGAGGCGATAAAGAAAAGTATGATGGGAACTTACGTAAATTATAAATGGTACACATTATAGCTGTTAAAAAAAAGTATTTGAAAATCATAAATTAACAAAAAAAAGAAGAAGAAAAACATATTAAAGTTTAAATTACAAAAAAAAAAGAAAAAAACGTAAATAATTATAAAAAAACTAAATAAATATTGATAAAAAAAAGTAAATAAATAGATATAAATAAAGAAATAAATAAATAGATGTAAACAAAAAAAAATTAATAATTATAAAAAAATAATATAAATACAAAAATTAATAAAGAAATAGATATCAATAAAAAAATTATTAAATATTAAAAATTAAATTAAATAAAAAAAATTAAAAATAAATATTAAAAATATAAATAAATAAAAGAAATAATGAATAAATGGATTTAAATATAAATAAATAAATACATATAAATAAAAGAAATTAATAATTGTAATTAAAAAAAAATTATTAAATCAAAAAGAAATTACAAAACGAACTTTCAATCTGAAAATTTTAAATTAACAAAAATATTAAAAAAAAAATGAAGTGCGAAAAAACGCGTGAGCATCACAATCACTCAATAGACATATACATGCATAATACATACTTACATATGTACATACATATATTTGAATGTTAACAAGTATTTATTTGCTTGGCTTTGCAAGCATACTAAGTTGTAATGTTACATTTATACATACAATACATACATAAATATACATAAATAGTAATTTCTTAATTGATTAACGTAAAACTGCAGCTTTTAAAAGAAACATTATGTATTTTGTATTTGTATTTTACGTACACTCAAATAGAAATTATTTGTTTGATTTGTTAAGTCTATATTTGTTAAGATTTGTATAACATAAAATTAATAATTTCTCAACTAATAATAAAATATGCATACATATTAAAAAACAAATTGGTTACAAATTTTTGCAGTATAAATATGTAGATACCGACGTACATAGAGCGCACTAAATACAAAAACACGTTACAATTCAAAGTTTTCCAAATTGTACTTTTTCCCCTAAACTACTTCAAAGAGCACATCCACAACGATTGCAGAGTCTTTCTTAATTGGGAAAATACCGTTACGTTGTTTTTTTTTTTTTGTTACCCACGTCGTTTAATTTGCCTCTGTTGAACATTTGAGAATTTTATTGATTTGTGACAGTTTTTGATTTAGTTGCGCGATATGTGCATCTTAATACAATTTATTTCAAATTTAATTAGATACATATGTGTATATGTAGTACATACATTAATTCTTTTCAATACAGAAATATGCCAGATTTATATTAATAGCTATCTATGTTTTACTTAGACGCCAATATTTTCGAAAATGTTTTTGAATTCTCTATCTAACCACACCTTGCTTGCCATTAGATCTAAATAAAGTAAATGTGTATGTGTGTTTAAATTTCTTTAGCGAATGTAGGCAGTGCTGCTATTTCACTATATTAACTGGCATTTACATGATATATATTTATAAATACATATAAATTCTTACCTACAAAAACAATAAATTTGTAAATATAAAATACGAAGTATGATGCGTTTCAACAACAATACATATACTTATGTTTTAATTAACTTAATTTTCGACTTTTAATCTACTGCAATAATTTAACAGACCAAATTAATACAAAAATTTTTTTTGAAAATAAAAAATAAATTACGTAAATTAACATAAAAGCCGTAAAAATGCTAAATTATTATTATTATTATTAATTTTGTAAAATGTATGTATATGTATATATGCACTATAAGTAATTCAAACAAAAACAAAAAAAAAAAAGATTTGTCGCGGCCATTCATGGAAAAAGAAGCAAAAAACAAAATACATTTAAAGGAATTTTAAATTTTTATTCCCTAAAGAAAAAAATTTTACAAACAAAACTCTAAATGAAATCGAACGAACTACACTACAAAAATAAAAAATAAAAAGAACAACGGAAGAAAAATTATTTAAAAAAAAAAAACACATCTAAAACATGGATTTATTAAATTATTTATAAGTTCTAAATTATGTATACAAACTTATATATCATTTGTACGAAATAAAATTAAATTAAACAAATAAAAACAAATATTAAAATTATTAAATATCATATTAAAGCAAAAATGCGAAATAAAATAAAACAAAAAAACGATTGTGAATAAAGAAATGAATTTTTTTTCTTTGCAAACCATAAATGGAAATTGGATATATGTATGTATATGTATACTTTTTTTCAAATATCATTTAGCTTGTTATTTGGATATTCGAAGAAACTTTTGCCTTAAAAGATTGATGGCTTTGTTGCTTGTGTGGCACGTAACGCCGTCTTGTGGAAAGTAAACGTTGTACAGATCAATTCCGGTCACAAACAATTTTTAATCCTCTCGATAGCGCAATCCATTCATTTTCGAAAAGTTAGTTCCAATAACCCGCCGCCCCAAACAGTTACACTTTGAGGAAGGGAAGGCTTTTCAACAATAAAACGGGACCCAGAAGCGACAGTTTCGTTTACTGACGTAGCCATCGTAGATTAGTTAGCAGTTCGGTCTGTCTACAATCCATACGACCAACAATATCTTGCGCCAGTGTTGCAGCACCATACAAATCTCTCCATAGCTCACTGTGTTGGACAACATTTGAAAGAGCTGAAAGAACTTAGGCAGTTGATGATAACAACATCACAAGCGATGCCATCGCATCATTCGTCTTTTCGTTGCCGCCTACATTCATTTGACCTGGAACCTAAGGGTATTCAGTCATCATGAGACTCATCTTAAATGATAGCTCTCCAAATGCCAATGCCCGGTTATTGTAATTTGAAGTTGGTATATGCTTTTCCTGAACCTGTTTAATGAGTCCGTAGTTACAGTTCTGTCATACTTCCGATTTGGTCAACTCTTTAGCTTTTCCTCTGACGAAAATATTCTTTTAGCCGGGAACCCAAATTATTGATAAGCCAAGGTCAGCAATGCCGCCCGGCTATCAGTGAATAAAGTACCTTTCTGTATTCCGCTGTGTACACTGGATATATTTCATGGTTTGCAACCGGTAAAGCGATTTTCGGCCAAATTGTTGTGTGCGTCTTGATATTTTTCCAACAAAAAGGGGAGACCTACAGTTTATAAACACTAAATCGTCTCCGAACGGCAAGTACATCCGTTGGGATATGTAGGGAGATACAGATGTCAAAATATCCACTTTCGTCTGGAGGGTACCCACACCTGGTGCGGCCAATCATAACTTCTTTATCTCCAGCTACCCAACTACTTAAGACTGATAGCAGAGCATGCTGCAACTTTTCGAATGAAAATGTCTAGAGGAGCATGTTAACAGTACCAGTCCGTTATGTCCTAACAGTCCCTATAACCTCTGCATTGACTGCTCTCTGCATTTCATTTAACACCACCAAACCATTGGTCCACATGTAGAAACTCGTCTAACGGCCGTATACATATTCATCATGAGGAATTGTTGTACCGTAGAGTGGAGAAACCTGAAATCGAAGTGGCGAGCCACCGGATTGCCCTGTTTGTTACCAATAACGTTGCTGTAGGGGAATACAAGGTTCGGCTATTGGCAAAAATGAAATGGTACATGCATTAGAGAATTAATTATTGGCAGTGTCGTATAATGAAACCTTTCCGAAAAATGCCCATTTAAGCTGTCTTACTTACAGACACCTCAGTTTTGTATTAATTGCTTGCATCCGTATTCGTGTGGTCTTAAAGGTACAAGAGTAGTTCCTCGCAATTACCTTCCCAGACGAGTGATATGTACTCGCCACCCCTAAATAAAAATTTCTTCGTTAATGCAAGGAACAGCTCCTAACCATGGGCTGTCCAGAGAGGTATACCTTAATATGTACATAAATCCCAGAAGGATAGTAATTTCCCGTCACTTCGAAATACCTGATCGTAAATTAGAGTAAGAGTACCTCCTCACTATCTCCTAATGTCTAAAACAAGGAGTAAATATTCACCTATTTGTGCATAAGCTACCAAATCGTTATGTCCTCTCTTCTTGTTCTGCGCCTCTCCTTCAATACATTTTTCCTAGCCTAGAAGATGGAGAGACCTATAGTTTATTCTAAGCCGCCTCCGAACGCCTGTTGCATTTTTATGAGCAGCATTCATTTAATGTCAGAAATGCACTTGGAAGGCTTTACAATCTCTGCCGAGTCGAGATCATAGTTAGAAAAAATAATTTTCTATAATCCGACCGGGACTTCAAACCTTGCCTTCCGAATCGAATGGCAATAGGCCCATGACGCTTCTCACGGTACCGCTAACTACAAACTACTCGGCTACTGCGGTCATGTGGACAATGGTATCTTCGGTCGTTGGTTTAGTAGTTCTTTGAATACCTTTTTCCGGATGGATACACAGAAATAAAGTCACTTTGGATTGGATTACGAGTACCACAAAAGTACTGTGCTTTGCATAGAATTTATTTGACAAATATCTCCTTAACGCTCAAAGTGACTTTTTCATAACAGTCTTTTTCAATTCGAAACCGAACGAAAATTCGATATTGTTTATATTTTCTTAGCCATATAAATGCACCTATAACCCATTATAGATGCAGCCAAACATATATTTTACGATCTTTCTGATTATTTCGTTGCATTTATTTTCGACTCGGGCCTACATTCGTCAGGTGAGTACCCCTTGAACCATTAATTCACAAAGGATGCTTAAATAGTTCCCTATCACAGCCACATCGCAAGAATGCTAAGCGTATGATCCAAAGTCTCTATTCAGACTTCACACTCGCCAACGAAGTGGGCGATGGCAGTGGTGGCAGCGGTGGAAGTGACAGAAGCGGCAGCAACGACTCAACTGACAAATGTAAGGCAAATAGTCTTGGCTCGGGTAATGCCAAACAGAAAGCAACCAATATAGCGCAAAAGGCGGCGAAAGAAGCCAAAGCTGCCTCGGATGCTCAACAGGCGGCCGGCGAGGCTGCCTCTATGCAAGTGAAAGCGCAGCTGGCTGAGAAGGCGGTTGCAGCAGCCAAGGCAGCCGAAGCGGCACTTGCTGGCAAGCAACAAATCGTACAACAGCTGCAGCAAGAGGTGCGTGAAGCTGAAGCAGTGGTGCAAGAGCAGAGTACCTCATTATCGGATGCCCAACAAAATGTAAATGCCGCCATGCAGGCCGCACAGAACGCCGCCCAGCAACTGAAGACACTCACCAAGGCGGTGACTATGGCTCAAACGAATGTCGCTAATGCAGAACAGGCCGCAACAGGCGCACAAGCGGATCATGCGGAAAAGACGCAATTGTTCGAGGCTGCCAAAACACGAGTCGAACAATTGTTGGGTCAATTGAATGCAGCACGCAATGATTACGGCAAAACGAAGGAAGCCGCTATGAAGGCGGCGGCAGCAGCACATGAAGCCAAACAAAATGCGAGTCCTGGTCGTTGTTATCGCTCGTTGGCGACTGCACGTTTGTTGGCCAAGCGTCATCGGCTGTTGGGACATAGACCACGACATTGAACGACTTGAATGATGCGGTCGCGGATTTCCTTATTGAAATCGTCATATTGGTTATTATGTGCATAATTCTCATTCTGTAATTAATTTAGCAATGAAAGCGAGTAAGAATTTGCTTAGTTTTTCGTTAAGACACGACTTTTTCTTTGCGAATGTTCAGTTTTACATTCCAACTCAGTTGAGATATTCGGTCGGAAAACAATTGTTACAAAATTTAAAATAGTTCAAAGTAGCAGAGACTTCAGCTTGTTGTCTGCGTGGTTGAAAAGTAGTTGAAAGTTTTTACGACAGTTGGCAACACTGTTCATATCTCTGTATACTGCGGATTGGCGATGGGGTTCGATTATTTTCTTATTTTTATTTTTTAACTATAACTCCTGAAATAGGCGAGTAATTAACATTGCGTACTGCCATTCTGTAGATCAGGGTTTCGGTCCTGGTTCGACTAATATCTAATATTTAGAAAATTAACTTTTCTAAATTCCCTCGCCCCTCGGTAAGGAATACCAAGCAATCCTAAGAGTATTTTATCTTTCACTCTTCTGCTCTTTACGGAAGTGATGAGGGATCCGTGAATTCTTTGCTGCGCGCAGATGATGGCAGATGATGTCAAATCCGCTCAGCATCGAACGAGCCGTAGGCCCAATTCGAACGGAGCTTGCGGTGTTGCTCTGAGTCAGTTAACACAGTCGTGTAAGTTCCGCGGGTGCACCAAATACATGGCGCCGTGAAGGGTGCTCTTTTTCGTGATATCGAAGGAAGACGAAGGACGACGAAAAGGTAGTGTGTGATGTTTTTTCTCTTATCTTTTCTAAGCCGAAGAACATGGTGGATGTCCTGTCAATGGTGGATCTGAAACCACATTGATAAGGACCAATGAGTTCGTCAACAATTCGCGTCAATCTTTCATACAACCCCTAGATAAGGACTTAAGATATATACGATATTGAGGAGGTTAATTCCACGATATCTTGCGGTGTCAGGTCTGCACTGGAACTAAACACGGTTTTAAGGTTATTAAAGAGACTATAAAGAACTGACGAGGGCACTGGCAAGTAAGCTTCGGCTGACTTATCCCACTCTGATAACCATAAATGTTATTGATCTAATGACAACGTTACCTCTCTTAGAGGCTTAGGCCGCTGCTCTCACCATTTATGCTTTTCAACAGCATTTTATTGTAAGTTGCCTGCTGTGAAGCTTCGAAATGCAGCTGGAAGTTGTCAAAGAGGATATAAGTGGTCTATATTAACAGACTAATTTAGGTTCGTCTCCTCCCAATAAGCTGAAGGATACTCAAGGACATTTCGACATATTAGTATAGCAGTGGATTCACAGAGACTCAGATAGACCGCATTGGAATAAAGTCCTTTCCCGCTCAAACGTAAATTCTTTACTTGTTAATTACTTGCTTTGTGTGAATGCCGAACATCGCTAAAGCCGTCAAAGACTTCAAATAGAAATTTCAATTGGGAATATATTTTTAATTAAAAAACAAACATGAATTGGTTCTCTATATTTTTACTAATTTATCTATCGCTACAGATGGCGACAGCACAACATTGCTACAACAAAAGACGGGTATGAATAACTCAATCTGCTAAGAGCAATTCCACTGTTGCCCATAACTCACACTCAATTTCAGATGCATAACCGAAATGCACGTCATATGCTACAAAACCTCTACGCCGAGCTGCAGCCCAGTGAGGGCGGTGGTGGAGGTGGCGGTGCTGAGGGTGGAGCCGATGAATGCAAGAAAAGTGGTGTTACCTCCGGAAATCCTAAGCAGAAAGCCACTAATATTGCGCAGAAAGCTGCCAAAGAGGCTAAAGCCGCCTCAGACGCACAACAAGCCGCAGGCGAAGCTGCCTCCCAACAGGTGAAGGCACAACTCGCTGAGAAGGCTGTGGCAGCTGCTAAAGCAGCAGAAGCTGCACTTGCCGGCAAACAGCAAATCGTACAGCAATTGCAGCAAGAAGTACGTGAAGCTGAGGCTGTGGTTCAGGAGCAGAGCAGTTCGTTGCAGAATGCTCAACAGAATGTGAATGCCGCCATGCAGGCCGCACAAAATGCGGCCCAACAACTGAAAACGCTTACCAAAGCTGTAAGTATGGCTCAAGTGAACGTAGGGAATGCAGAGCAGGCCGCGCAGGGTGCACAACAAGATTTGGCTGAGAAAACACAATTAATGGAGGCTGCAAAGAGTCGCGTTGAGCAACTATTGCGTCAGTTGAGTTCAGCACGTAATGATTATGCTAAGACAAAAGACGCCGCAATGAAGGCGGCTGCAGCAGCGCACGAAGCCAAACAGAATGCAAATCCGGGCAATCGCTGTGGACGCTCCTCGCCTGCCAGCCGTTTGATGGCGAAGCGCCATTTGCGTATGGTTCAGCGACAACGCCACTAATGTACTCGTATTCGCAACTCTTACATACAAATATGGAAATATATTATATATCCATTATGTGAAGTCATCCTTTTTATCGTTGGATATTTTTTTTAAAACTTTGCAATTAAATAAATAGACATCTCCCATTCGTTATTTACTTTTAGCCATTCGGCGCCAATCGCAGACGCCAAGTAAAGCCAGTTCCTTCTTCACCTGATCCTACCAACGGAGGAGGGGTCTTCCCCATCCACAACTTCCGCCAGCGGGAACTGTAACGAATACTTTCAGAGCTGGAGTGATTTGGCCCGAAATGACGCAACCGCTGTCTCTAAATCGATGAACTATGTTAATGCTGTCGTAGATCTAATGCAGCTCATAGTTCCATCGTGTGCTGAGTTCACCGTAGCCAGTATGCAGACTCCCTTCTGCGCTATAAAGTAGGACAGAGATGATACGCGATTTGTAGAGTTTAGTTTTACTTTGTTGAGGGAGGACTTATCAGTATATCAGTTGCCTACTCAGTAGAAAGTAGCGCTTGTTGGCAGGAGTGATACTGCATTCGATTGGAATTGATCGAGTTTTTGGTGTTGATGCTGGAAGTCACACGAAAGGGAGTCACCTAGTCTGCTTTGGTACCGAACGGATCGGAGCGGCTTTTTTTTGCTACTCAGCGCCGGTCTACACAGCCGTATAGGTTTTTTGGGGATGGTCCCATGGGTCTTTCCCAAAATTTGGATCTGGCCAATGTTAAATGTTCCAATCAATCTCTCACATAATATGCTCAATAGGACTTTATATGCAATATTGAGGAGGCTCTCTCCTTCGCCATTTTCGGATGTTTCATTTTCACTGCAGTTAAGCAGGCTGAAGGAGTGTTTCCTCCATGAACTTGATATACTCTGAGCGTAAGAATGCCGATCCCCTTTTTTGTAACTAAGAGAAGAAACCTTGCAACCTTCCAAGTGCCACCTCTTTTTCTCGTAGAATTTTCGGGTTTTTCTACTGTTGGCTGCCTCTGATTCTGTCGATTCTTCTGTCTGAAAAAGCATCTCGCTTCCTTTTTCAACTCTCGGTATGTTTCTAATAGCCTTCTATGTGAGACAGACAGTCATTTTCTATCCACTGCGGGACGACAGTCATCATCGCACCAGCTCTTCTTTTAACTATTTGGAAAACCAATGCTTTCGCTTGCAGCTGTACGTGGGGTTCTAGAAAATCCCTCACTCAGCCTCAGCTACTCTTTGGGATACAAGAAAAAGCCAAGGCCCAGAAAGTCCAGTTGGAAGTTGAAGTTTCGCAAACATTTTACGATATTGAACTTATCAAATGTGTTTCGTTAACAAAAATATCACAATCTGGGTCTGATTAACTTACCAAGTCTTCTGTTAAACAAAGATGTACCGATTCAATCCTTCCCAAATACCATAGTCGGAATGGATTGACCCCTGCGCTTCACATTGATCTAATGGAAGTCCGACGCTTTTATGCAAAGTCCCTGTATGTCTGTGTTGCGATCTAGATAAAGCAAGTCAGAAGCGAAGGAGGTGTTCCAACGTCTCACTCCCATGTATGAACGAGGAAGTAGTCCGCAGCACGTTTTTGTTAAAAAAGGCGGTATATGAAAAGGGTTCGTGAATCACAAGTCTGGCCTGGAGTATTTTATAGCGTCTGCATTTTTATAAATAAAGGTGTTTGCCAGTGACATGCTACGAATTGATGAACTTATGGCATGTACACATGTGAATCGATTTATAAAATAATTTCAAAAATAAACTTCTAACAAATATAGATTTAAATAAAGCGCCTCACTGTTTTCCCTGCATCGGTGTAGCGAGGCGACGTTTACGAGGCACACGCATCATACGTCGACAGCGGCCTGTGGGTGAAGCGTTCACCTTCGCCTCATGCGCAGCTGCAGCTGCCTTCATAGCCGCATCCTTCGTCTTGTTAAAGTCCTGTCGTGCAGAGCTCAACTGGCGCAGCAACTGTTCCACACGCAGCTTCGCCGCTTCTACCAGCTGAGTCTTCTCGGCCATCTCTTGTTGTGCACCACTGGCGGCCTGCTCAGCATTACCTACATTTGCTTGAGCCGTCTGCACAGCCTTGGTGAGTGTCTTCAACTGTGACTGCGCTTGTTGAGCCGAACTCACCGCCGCATTAACATTTTGCTGGGCATTCTGTAGTGAACTACTTTCCTCTTGTACAACAGCCTCAGCTTCGCGTACTTCTTGTTGCAGCTGCTGTACAATTTGTTGCTTACCAGCGAGCGCTGCTTCAGCTGCTTTAGCGGCCTGCATAGCTTTCTCCGCAAGCTGTGCCTTCACCTGTAGCGATGCAGCTTCGCCGGCCGCTTGCTGTGCGTCTGAGGCAGCTTTAGCTTCTTGAGCTGCTTTCTGTGCTATGCTTGTAGCTTTTTGTTTGGGATTCCCTGCCATCATGGCGCCTGGCTTACACTCACCATCGCCACCACTTCTAGAACTACTTGAGCCACCCTCTGACTGTTCAGCCGCATTGGAGTCTTCTCCGTATTGTGCATACAAGCCGGGCAGCATGCGTTTCATCTTTCTGTGCTGTTGCTGAAGACGGAGGTGCGTTTATTTGCTTTTATTAATGGGAGTCTCAAATTGGTATGGAAGCAGCAACTCACCTGAATCCGATTGTTTTCGTAACTGCGCACACCTGACAACAACTGACAAATCAATAAGACTGCTATGAAAATGGCAAAACGCATATTTTGTTTTTGCAAAGCCCAAAACTAATTTGCAAAACTGTACTTAGAGTTGTTGCATAGTTTTTTTTTTTTGTTGTATGAAAATTTTGCTTGTTTAGCGAAGTTGTGCGATATCTTTTAGTAAATAAGATGAGTTCGATTGAAGTTATTTTGATTTTGCGTTATTTTTCATTTGACTTTGAGTGGTAAAATATCAAATAATGATGAAGTTTTCAAAGTAAAACAAGTAAAAGTAAGGAAAACAATGTCCAAGCGTGGTAGAGTTTTAAGGCAATAAATGTTCTTTGCATAAGCGCCGAGGGGCGACTGCTCTTGGAAACCAGCCTCTCGCGAGGATAAAAGAATTTTTAGGAATTACTTTTTCCTTTCCGATATCTTATACATATACATATACATATAATTTGCTCACGCGGTACCGAAAAGGTCGTAAGATTTTTGGTGGCCTAATGGCAGCTCGCAACTCACTTCCAACAGTCGACGCAATCGGAATGCGCTCCAGTAACGATGACACCTGCAGGAAGTGTAGGGAAGAAGGTATAAGTGAGGATGCTGAAACACCTCTTCTGCTTCTAACCCGCATGGCCAAGAGCTCACCAAAGATATTTAGATGACATCAACGCGGCATTCAACTTATATATGTCAAATAAACTACTGCGAAAATCTTCGAAATAAAGTAAGCAGACCACGAAACATGGAATAGAGCGTTTGAGATTTTTGTGGCGGAGCCATTAGCTTAACGGTTCAGCTATGCCAACATAGTGTAGAAAAATTTCGGTGCCTGCGTCAGCTTGTTTAGATGATATGCCCTGTCCACAAAAAGGGCGACCTAAAATCAACGTGAGTTATTGTGGGTTAAATTTTCCCAAACATCCGACATAGGATCTTACAGAATTTACAATAAAAGAATGAAGCACTCCACCAACGAACTGATTGGACCATATCAATTGGACTGCAGATTTGATACACTGATTAATTATTCACCATGTGTCAAGTCTTGGAAAAGATCCGTGAGAAAATTGTTGACCGCATCAGCTTCGATCGTGGATTTTAAAAATGCATTCGAAAGCACGGAAAGAAGCTGCTTCTAGGCCGCTATATCTGAGTTTGATACCCCCGCAAAGCTTATGGGACTATGGAAACTGACACTAAGCAATGCTAAAAGTTCTGTCAGAATGAAAGATGTCCATCTTCGAGCCGTTCAGTGCCAAACGGGGCTTCAGGAAAAGCGACTCTCTTTCGAGTGCTGCAGTACTTAATTGAGCAGGTAGAATGTTCCACAAAAGCATACAACGGCTACAACCGTCTTAGAAACCGCGACATTGGTTCAGCTTTCTCATTTAGAAGTTATGATTTCGTCTATCTTGGAATTAGCGCCAATACCAAAAACAATATCAGGTCTGAAACCATAACGGCGAACATAGATCAAAGTCTACTAGACGTCATTATTCACGACCCAGTTCTCGTAGTTTTTGAAAGAAAGTTTATGCGGAATATTTATTGTCTTCAGCTCACGGCTGCAGGGAGGACCATAGACAATTCAACGATAAGCTGTAGAGTTAACAAGTGTTAGCGGCTATGCTGGCCAGGTCTGTAGTCCATATGGCAGAAAGGTTTTTACTCCGTTGGAAATGTTAGGTAGAGAATGACCTGGCTGCAGTTGGTATTTCCAATTGAAGCCAAGAACAAATATAAAAAAATATACTTTACAGCTTGAAATGCTTTTAACATTCTTTAGATGATTTCTTGGCAAAGAAAGTATTTGTTGTTGTCTTAAAATGGACTCCATACCTCTTTAAAAGCAATCCACTACCCACTGTTTACAACGAAAACACATTCTTCCAATTTTGCCTACGAGGAGCCTGAAACCTTGGATATAAAGTATTTAAAGAAGTTTCATCGAAAAAATTTTCTTATTCTGCAAGTGTCTTTACAATTTACTTCCCCCATCGCAGCGCTATGTGAAGCGATGGTAGAGAAACTTTTTGAGGAGGCACCAAAGCTTCACGTAGGACATTCTTTTCGGCAACTATAAGCCCCCTCGGAGCGCAATATTTTTTCGCCCAGCGATTTATTCAGTCTCTACTCTTCCATCAACACGGAAAGCAAGCAAATTTGTTAAGCCCAGATTGATGCGAGAGCAAAAAGACTTTTAAATCACCGCACACTTGCCAACCAACAGGAATGGAAGCACTAGGATACGGTCAAAACTTAATTGTTTCTAGCTAAAGCTGACCACCTTTTGAATGCATATTAAACTAATTTATTAACTCTACAAAGCAATCAACTCGATTAATTTACGATGCAGAAACAGACGTAACATGACTGGCTCTCAACGCACATTGACCTCCAAAGTACCACAAGCTGTGTTGAATTTGCAATATTTTCGCGAAAGCAATTTTTTTTAGCTTATGTGTGTGCATAATTATAAGAGTACGGGAAAAATCGCTATGAAAATTTGCAGCAAAAAAAAAAAAGAATAAAAAGTACATAGAAACGAAAAACGGCTGGCACTTTCTTCAGCCTCAATGGTCAGCAATGTGAACTGCAGTGCAGAGTCATGTGTTGCCACTGCATAAACATCGGTTGCATATATATATATAAATGGATTAACGCTTTGTAACCGCTGAAGCGATTTTCGGCCGAGCTCCTACTCCAATTTGTGGTTTTGCGTCTTGATGTTTTTCCAACAAATGGAGGGACCCACAGTTTATACTAAGCCCCCTCCGAACGGCTGATGGTTTGTTTTATGAGCAGTTTTTCTTTCATGTCAGAAATACACACGCCCTGCCGAGGGACGACCGCAGTTACAAAACTTGGCTTAATTTTTCATTTAAATTAATTTTCTATGACTTTTTGGATGTTGGTCGTACCAGGATTTGAACCCCGGCCTTCCGAATGGCAGTACTCAATGTTAACCACTTGGCTACCGCGGCCGCCATCGGTTGCGTGCAACAAAAAGTAAGACGTGAACTCAACAGTGTTATGACAGCGCTAAAAGAAATGCAACAAAAACAACTATGCAACATTGCATGCAATTTATGATAATACCGCGGCTGCTGCTGCTGTTCACCCTCAAGCTTTCATGACCGACCAAGGAATAAATGATGTGAGCCATGACTCTACCCACGAACATTGCTACCCTGCCATGAAAAGTGAAAGACAAAGTATGACAAATTACGGTTAAATACTAGTATTTTCAGGATGAATTTATACCAGTTCGTTATTTTTATGAAAATTTACCAATAACTGGAATAATAATAATGATTTCGACCACCACGTTATTCGTATGTTCTTATTATTGTTTCGTGCGACACGAGTAAGCCGATTGAATAGCGGTTGCCAATGTAGCGCATGAGATTCATCGGTCATTCAACCTGCAGAAATTCAACACGCATAAATGAACTGGTATCTAACCACCTTAAAGCTGATGCATAGCGAAACAATTAAGTCAGTCGTCTGTTTGAATCTATTCTAAAACTGCCCAAGAATATGTCTTCAAGATTGCATATTCGACATATTTTACAAGCTACACCAGGCTCGAATGCTCGGACAGACCCAATCGAGTCTTGATTTTTACAAGTGTCAGAAAACGGTAATAACAAAAAGAATATATGTCCGATCGAAAAAAATCAAATGGATCTTGCATCAGTATTAAATTATCTTCTATTTGAAATAAAAAATTCAGACGGCGGATGCGTCAGAAAACTCATCACAGCATTAGAAAAAACCCATATTTTGTAATACTAAAATTTTTTTGAAGCTTAAACACAGTACTTTGTTATTGAAAGTTTCGTTTACTGCAATAAGTTCCTTTCCCTTCTAAAAAAACTACTGCCTTAACAGTTCGTAGAATATCACCGTGTTAAAAATACGAGTTGCAAAGATAACAAAATAATGGCATAGACACCGCTTACATGATTATAGCCGAGCCAAGAACAGGCGTCAATCATTCCTTCTTTTCGCTGTTTAGTGCCAATTGGAAATACCAAGTACAGCCAGGTCCTTCTCCACCTTTTCAATGGAGTAGAGGCCTTCCTCTATTTCTTCTACCAACCACACCAAATTTGGAAAGCTCGAATATTCTTATCCACTCTGTCCACATAACTCAGCCAACGTGGCATGGCTGTCTTTTAAGTCGCCGAACTATGCCATTGGCATCGTATATCTCCTCAAAGTACGGAGGATCATATATCTTAAGCAAAACCTTACTCTCGAAAGCTCTTGTAGCCGACTCATCAGAAGTTGTCGTCGTCCATGTCTCCACATCATTAGGCAGGAAGGGAATGATGAACGACTGGTAGAGTTTGGCTTTTGTTCATCGAGAGAAGATTTTACTATTCAACTTCAACTTGTTGACTTCAAAGTTGTGACTGTTCATAGTGACGTCGTTTGACTGTTTGGTTGTTGCGAACAGAAATTTTCGAGTGCTAATTTAGTTGATTCCCGCAACTATAACTCCATACACAGAAGCTAGGCTACACCCCATTGCACCCCAGAAGATGAACTAGTTAGTGTGAAGCTACAAACCAGTTGAGATCCAGTAACAACTAATATTTTTCCCTGCCGGGTATGTTTGTACTGCCTCTTAGTCCAATGCCAGCTACTGTGTTGTTGTTGTTATTGCTATTGTTGTTGTTGTCGGTTTTGCTGCTACCACCACTTTATAAATACGATTGCTAGGCGCGCATGCGTAACGTATTTGTCACGGAACGTATTCGCGTACAGCTGCTAATCGATTTCCAGCTACCCGCGTATTGACAACAAAAGCAAATCGCTTCCTCTGCAACGATTCACATGCAATATACGAGCTTATACATACATACGTGCATACGAGTACATACATAATTATTGTGGCTACTCCTGGCATTGCTGGAGCGCATTTTAATTCCGTTCACACATTTCATCGCGGATATGGCGATTTTCAAATGAAGCTGAAAGTGGTTTTTCCTGAAAAGTAAAAGCGCGCACCTCTGTAGCCACACACATACAAATATACGCCACATTGGCATCCTACGAGTCAGCCAAACACTTGAGACCTGTTCACTTACTGGCATTGAATTGCATCTGAATGTTGAACGCGTTTGGACAATTATTGATTTCGTGAAAGAAACTGGAAAGCAAGAAATTTTAAAAAATAACGAAATATATAAGTACGTACGTAAGTATGTATTATTACATACTTGCACAATCATTAGTATGTATGTCTAACATTTGAGAAGTGTATGTATTTTTGCCCGCAACTGTACACTTTGTGGTCAGATGAGGTTTGCTGCTGCCAGCGTCAGGACGAATAGAAAAACTTAGCACGCGTGTTACATAAGCGGGAACTTAACAGTTAGTTGGTACTCGTTGAATAGTGAAAAGTGATTGGAAATTCAAAAATAGAAGTTTTTTCCATAACTTAATGAGTGGCACTGATGCATTAGCTACTATCCAAGTGAACTAAGGAAATTGTAACATTAAAAGCAAGGAAGTGGTTGAATAACAAAAGTATGAAAAATATTTCCATTGTGTTAACATCCGTGATTTTTTTCGCTTGAAAAGTGTTTGAACTTGAACTGTGTTGCGTCAGGATTGCTATAATTAATACACATATATATATATATATATATATATATACGTTAAAATAAATTAAATATTTGTTGTAAGTAAAAATATAAGTATGAGTATGTATCGGCCCCATAAAGGCATCGGGCTCATGATTTCTGGAAATGTTATCAACAACAAGAAACGATGCTGCAAGTAGCTCAATAATTCAAAAAAATATTCAAAATCTTTTGAAAATAACTTTTCCGCCTGCATATTTTAGATAAGTAAAAAAGTCTGGTCCAAGTCATGGTTCGAGCGAAAATCCAAAATTACAGAAATTTAATTTTTCTAATTACGGTCGCCTCTCGGCAGGGCATGTGAAACCTTCCGAGCGTATTTCTGGCATGAAAATCAAAGCCTCTGACATATAATAATCAGCCGTGCAGAGACGGCTTATGAAAATTATTTTGGTGCCTACATTTTGTTAAAAAAAAAAAAAAAACAAATTGGAGGTTACAAAGCGCAAATTTTATATATTCATATGTACGAGGTGTGACAATTACGTAATGAGACTGATTATATTGCCGCGATTGTGATAAGTCTGCGACCTCGAAAATCTCTTTCCCTTCTACCGGCCTCTTTCTCCTCTCCATTGCTATAGTTGTTATCGCTCTAGCTTGTTTAGTTCGCCTGATGTGTCGTGTTGAGTAAATGTGTGTACGTGGTGCTCGTCACGCAAATGGAGAAACGAAATCAAGAGCAACGCCTCGCGATAAAATTTTGCACCAAATTAAAACCGTAACTCAAGTCTACTATCGCCAAGTACTCCAAAGTTTGCGAAAATCAGTAAATAGGATGCGCCCAGACATCGCTCGTAACTGGATTCTTCATCACGACAACGCGTCGTGCCACACCGCCCTCAGCGTGTCCCAGTATTTGGCCTCTAGAGGGATCGCCGTGTAGCCTTATTCGCCCGATATGTCACCCTGTCAATTTTTTTTTCTTGTTCCTTAGAAGAAATCGATGGTCAAAGGAACCCATTTTGAGTCGATTGAGGACATCCAGGCGGCCGTGAGAGGGTACTCGCGGACATCCCATTCGAAGCATTCCAGAAATGTTACAAAGCAAGGACTACTTCGGAGGTGATAGCAGAGTTGTAGAATAATTTTGAAATATACCGTTTTCATGGAATTTGTCTTATTACTTAATTGTCACACCTCGTATATATACAATGCCCGTGACTTATTCAGCATTTTAAGTTGATACTAAGAAATAAAATAGTCTAGGCAAGGAGGATACACAAAGAAACTCGATGCTTGGTTGTCACGTGAATAAAGGCAAAAAAAATTGATTGACGGAATTACCATCAACAAAACGCTTTTGAAACATGACAATATCGAGTCATATCTGAAGCAATTCATCACCGACGCTGACAAATGGTTTAAATACGAGAACATGAAATAGAAAAAAATCATGACTAAAGACCTGTGGCGATTCATACAAATGACTTCAAAGCCTGAATGGACGGCAAACAAGGTGATGCTGAGTGCATGGTGGGATTGTGACCAGAGCGATATGAAAATCTGCTAGAGAACAGCTAAAAGAAATATAAATTTTGTTGCCCAGTAGCCCACCGACTTGCAGTGTGTGCTTAAGGGTTTGGAGTTCCAAACCTGGTTAGTCCTTCATTTAAAATTATCAGTTGTTCGGAGTTGGCCGAAAGTAAGCAAGACCTATTGTATATAGACAAGACCTATAGACCTTCCATTTGTGCGAAAACTGTCAAGACGCACACCACGAACTGCAGAAGGGGCTCGGACGAAAATCTTTCTATTATTATATATTATATTGTATAAGTATTTATTAATTCAAATACCTTTTCAAAGCATCTACTTGTATTTTTACAGATCACAACAGATATTCTTTACATTCACCAAAAGACTAGACATCGTCAATATGTTACCACTTTGCCGTAAACTTCTATTTTTACTACTCAGTAAGTACAATATTTTACGATTATGCAGTTTAGTCATTCTACAACCGAAGCACTTTCAATTCACAGTTCCATTGATACTTCCAACCGACGCAATTTTCACCGTTACTTCACGCAAAGTAAAGCGTACCGGAACCTATTTAAACGTACCACCGCCACCACTGCCACAGCCTCAACCCACACCGACCGCAGCTGCCTCACATCACGTGGAGCACGAACCTTATCCCTACGAAGATATCAATGAACACGACTTTCACTCTCAGCCACAGTACGAAACTGAATTCACACCCACACAAACAAATACCCATGCACATTCTTCAGCTTCCACTGGCAAATTCCTCATCGACAATGGTTTGCGTAGCATCGCGAAGGGCTCAGCAGACCAGGCCAACTCCGCGGTGGCAAGTCAAAATGCTGCCGGTAAGCAAGCCGCTTACGTTGCGAAGAGCACACTTGCGCAAGCAGCTGCACAAGCGGCCGGTACCGCGGTGGCTGTGTTAAAAGGTAAAGAAGTACTTTTACGCCGGCTTGAAGATCAAAATATAGATGAACATAAAGGTTTGGAAGGCGAATTAACGCAACTGCAACAGGCGAAACGTTCCGCTAAGACCGCACAATATGCAGCACAACAGGCAATAAATCATGTTTCCGTGCTAACGGCAGCATTAAACAATGCACAGTCGGCATCGGAGCTGACACAGAGAGCGGCTTCTGAGGCGGCAGCCGAATTGGCGTCACAAATCGACATGGTTGCGCAGGCCAAGGCGAAGTTGGAGCAAATTGAATCACAACTCTATACGGCACGTTTGGATTATGAAGAGACGAAGGAGGCGGCAGAGAAGGCAACATCGTCTGCACAAGAGGCGCAGATTAACGCCAACGATGCTGCTGTGCATGCGAATGTGGAGCTGAGCGAGACCGTGCATGTGGGTGCAAATGATAAGAGCGATTACAATGTGGCGACAGTGATTACTGTAGACACTACGAAACGGGCTGCCGGTCCTATTGGGTCAAGTCAAGGTTTTCTGCCCATTCGTAAGAAGTAAATGGTGGAAGTTGAGTGGATTTTGCATTATAACGTAATCTTCTTACAACAATTAAAAAATATAATATATAATATTTATAAATACAATTAAGCATAATAAATATTTATTTTTATTTTCCTAAGGTGAAAGAAAAACTGTTTTCATTTACGAGGTTTGTGCTATGATAAAACTCTATGAATGTTGTTGGTGTTGTAAGGATTCTCTAACTCTGCTTAGGATCAGCCGAGACTAATCTAAATCATCGAAATCATATGACGGGATATCCACACGAGACGGATTCGTATATGAGTAGATTTTAGGGGGCAAGTAAAGAGAGCGTCAGTGTTGAGCACGTCTGGGTCATATCTTGATACGATAATTAAGTCGACTATAATATACCGAACTTAATTGCAATAGGTAGTTCTTAGATTTCAAGTACGCCATGCATGGAAAGAGAATTCATTCAAGTGTTGAAGTACTCTCGGTGAATAGTGCTCTGTGTGCCGCAGCGGCCAACAGTTCTGCTCTAGTACTCCCTTCTTGATTTGCCTAGGAAGAGGTTCAGCCTCGAGTAAATATATGTTGGGGTGATCCCGACGTTAACATCTCATCAAGTCATGCACCGGCATCATTAAGAGGTTTCCTGTCATGGTCCTGACGGCGATGTTCGGATAAGCTTGTAACTTCTTTATCTGTTTTGTGAGCAACGTTTCTGTTTATTTTCCACAGGTGCTGCGACTGTGCGACTAATTTTTTGATGACTTATTTTGTGGCGGCTCTATACTTTTGTGGCAATTTCAGTCGTATGCGGAATGAAAGAGTACAGAGTGTGGTATGTGACTCTCGGTAACAGTGCTACTTTGTCCAGCTAGTGGAAACGATAGCCAAGGATTTCGCAAGTTTTCGCTTCAGGTGTCGTACAGTGAAAAGGTAGAGAAGGTCGGCGAGATAGCCGTTTGCTTTCAAACATAAGTTATCAATATACTGGCCAGACGTCATTTTGAACAGCCATCGGCCTGTGATTTCAATGAAAGCCGTCCGGTAGAGGAGGAAACTTCGATATGTAAAAATTAAATATAAGCGGAGAGGAGACAACTAACTGTGGAAACCATGGTTTCACCTGATTGTCTAAATTGGGTTAGGTAGCTAAAAGGGAGACAGCCCTTTGTCGGGTAAAAGCCCTGTCAACTTCGTAAAAATTGCTGTCGAAGGAGTCGTTTACCTTCTAAATCGTATTCCAAGCGTTAATTCCCTGCGAATTTCCACTGTATGTGTGTTTCATTTCTAATCAAGGGCTTTAAGGTCCTTGGCAGATCCAATACAATGTTTATTCCTTTCGAAAACCAAGTGAAATACTTTCATGCATGCTCATTGTACATAAGCATATTTTTATTACAAAAACAAGAACAATAAATAAGTTAGTTTACAAGTAATTGCACAATTTAACATTCGCATAAAAAGTCACGACGAAGATCCCCTCCACACTCGTGACACTCAGATTGAACTACAATATACAGAACACTTAAGGACTAAGCTGGCGCAATCCTGAACCCCCGTTTTCTACATTTTTCTCTCAAAATATTTAAAGAATGCGCACAATGACTATTTAGGAAAAACGTATTTACTACAGACTACATAAGTACAAGTAAAAGTTGCGTTAAGGCGAAACTCATTAGTTGATCGGTACAGCGAGTATGCATTCTGTAGAATACTTTACCATACCATTTGATGTGCATCGCCCATCGGTAAGAGGCAGCAATCGCTTTTTCACCTTAACACGACTTTTGGAGAACCTAAAATTAAATCCCTGCGTAGCGTTCCCACGCACCCCTAGTCCTCAAGCTTCGTTCGTTTGCTGCGTTGTTGTTGTTAACTGACTACTTGCCGCCTTAATGCTATCTAATTTGGCCTTGAGCTCCGCGAGGCGATCATAGACGGGTTGCGGTGTTACTATCTGCACTGTGGTGCTCTCCTCGATGTCACTCTTCGTCGGCGTTATCTCGTTCGTTAGCTGCACACGTTTGGTCTCCAATGTAGGATTTATAACGGTGTTTTGTAACACCACAGGTGCGACAGTTGTTTCTTCAGCTCGTATAATAAAGCTGCGCGCCTTATCCGACACCTTTATGCTGCTACTATCGACGTTACGCGCATTACTCTCATTCTCCTCCTCAGCCATGGAGTCCCTAAGTGTTTGTATATCCAAACCACTATCACCGCCGTCATTGTCACTATTCTTATTGTATTTGGAGAAGTATGTGAGCGATTTCATTAGCTGATAGCTCTTTGAGATTGGTATATTGGAATCGTAAATGCTTTTGCTTGCACTGCAGTCCACATAGAACCACCAATTACATTTCAAAATTGTCTGATCGAAAAGCGTACTCTCCGGACAGAGGAAAGATTTGCGTACGAGTCCATCGTCGGTGAGCGCGCACACATGGAAGACCTAAAGCGAATAAAGTTTGTGAAAATGATGCCTAGTTAATGAAATGCGAAGTATATTACCATGCAGCCGAGGTCTGTATCGGCGTACAGTCCTGGGAAATGTTTTTGTTTGCCACATGAAAAGCTCGTGGGTGGTAGGTCCACTTTCGATTTGAAGTTATCGTCAAAGTTCTTATCGTAACCAACTGGATAGTATTCACGTGGAGCATTCATAACCTGGAAAGAAATATGGGAGTAAATGTTGAATAAAAGAGTTTGTTAGAAAACAAGTTTAATTTTCACTTAGCACTAAATGGATGGAAACCTCCTGTAATTCATTGCAAAAGGGGATTAAAGCCTCATGTAAATCTTCGACCCTACATGACAGTTGTACGCTAGCCTATGTGCCAGACTTAAGACAACGCCAACTCAGGCACTAGACTTTATACTACTTTACTTGCCCATAGTCTTGTACTGGGTGCAAGCAACTGGTAGTAAAAACCACAGTCAGGCTCAGGGAAACATTCCCATTAGCTACTTATAATAAGGCTTCCAAGCTTCAGGTTCTCGCAATCCCTTGGAGATTAATTGAAATTCGTCCATTAATATTGCCTTTCCTTCCAGAGAGGACTGGGATAGGCCCAAGGTTGCAAAGAAATAAATTAGATATATTATCGATAACACCGAAGCAGGTGAACTAACCAGATGAGACATTCCTTTGCAATTAGATCCATATAAATAGGGACAAGAGACTTAGCTGTGGTAAACACAGTAACAGCAAGACCTGCAAAGTGCTCCGAATTTGGAAGGGGCTATTGCGCCGACACTAAGGAACCTCTAGAACGGGTACAACATATCTGTTTACTAGGCATAGCAGGAACAATGAGACCTCAACAAAGACCCGGAAAGTGATCCCTGCCTTATGAAGCAGTACTAACTAATAGTCACCTAAATATCCTACATAGTTGGATGCAGCCACAAAACTGTGAATGATATGGGGTAATATAGAGAGTTATAAGAGAACTCGGACTAGAAATGCAGTGCTACCGATAAAAGGACACCTTCTGTCAGATACAAACCACATACTTCTACCCTAGCAGAAAAGAATGGCCGCAGGATAAGGTCAACGGTAATACTAAAAATATCCTCATCCATATTGATGGTACTTAATGCGAGGCAGGCGGGGGAGCAGAGTTCTTCTGTGACCCCAATAGCCATGGTAGCTTTAAACTAAAAAATGGAGATGTCGAGCAAACTGATCGCAAAAACATAACTCAATGTCAGGGATGCGGCCGCCCGCAGTCAGGTCATCCTAACCTCCCTTTCAACCAACCAATCCTATGCTTCTGGTTACTTTTAGTTGAATCTCGTTGGAAGCAATCTTTTTAAAAGGAATGACATAAAAACGCTAGGAGTACTAACAGGCTACTCACTCATTAGCTACTCACTTATTAACAGCTGTCAGGAAGTATAAGAAGAAAATACTATCAAACATCTTATATGAGGGTTCAAAGCCTTGTATAAAAAAAAATTCAAAACTGTTGGTCTTTCTTCAAATTAATTAAGTTGGTTAAGACCACAGGGTGTGTCAGGACCGGTGATATCATAATGAATCTCTTAAAGATTCAGGTTTGTCATCACATAACCACTTTACCTACCTACCTACTATGACTCCGTTTTATCATCATTTCATTTAATGACTCGAGTTCTTAAGTCCTTTAAAAATTATTTGTAGGTCAGAGAAAACTCCGAGCTTGTTCAATGACCAGTTAAAAGAAAATCAAAATTACTATTTTTGATTCAGGATATTAGCAACGGCGGCTTAGTAGGGAAAACTATGTCCATTTATCTACCTCAGAGTAATTGACCAAAAGCCCTCACTCCAGTGAGATCAACAACATGTAGCCGAAGCCTGGTGGTAGCCTGACTATTCTTAGAGATCATACTCCATGTTGGGAGAAGGAAAGCGGCTTTTCCAAATAATCTCTTTTATAAAAGCGTACATATATAGATATGTACTTACCTTGGACATCTTACTCTCGAATGCGACATTCTCTCTGATATTTTGATTGTCAAGTGCATCTTGCGGTTGTGCCCAATTCATCATTACCGGCGCTTTGATGGCAGGCAAAGGTGCCGATGTCGTTGTTGTCGTCGTCGTCGTTCGCGCAGTAGTCGAGGTACGTACGAATTCCTGACGTAACTTCGCCGCCAACATAGCACGATGCTCGGCTTTCATTTGTTGCTCGCGTACATAAATGGCGTGCTTGATGGTGTCTACGGTGACATTAGCCGCTGCTGCCAACTCTTCTACAGTTACATCCTTCAAATCGAATTTCGGTTCCTCAAATTGCAAATAATTCGGATGTGTATGCAAAATACGGTCCTCAGCACTTGTTATGGACTTTGTCACCGCTGCTAAACGTGCGACTGAGTTGGGCATTGCTTGAAAGGCGGGCACTGCGAGTGGTTGTGAGACAGTTGGATTGGCGACATGGAATGTGCGATTGGACTTCTATGAGAAACAAGTAGTGAGATAATTTAAAATGAATTAAGTGTATGGTACAATATATACTAAGAACTCTCCGCACTTACCAACGGATCAGAATAGCTCTCTACCAGTTTATTGTTGAGACGAACTCGCGGATTGGGCGTATCCACTGCAATATTTGAGCGTCGTTGTGCTATTTGCGCAACCGGTACCGTAGCTGTCTTCGGTATGGGACGAAATGCTGGGACACCTAATGGTAGTGGTCGCGCTTCTGTCATTAGTTGTGTGGGCGTAATTTGTCGCTTTAGATTTTCTCTGTAGGCGACATTATAGTTGGATGAAGCGCGTGCGCCGATACGTTTATCCGGAATCGGGTGTTGTATGGGCTGTTAAGAAGAAAAAACAATTATTTGAGCTTTACTTGCATAAATTTGTGGTTATAACTGCCAGGATTGAGTTTAAGTAAACTCGGCGAAGCTCTCTTTCTCTACTTGAAAGACCTAAAAGCAAATAATGAACTTAAATTGTAGATATCTGTCGTCTTTTTTTCGATTAATTCATTTGCATTTCTCTTGAAAATTTTTATTAGACCATAACTTTCCTTCAACTATCATAAACGATCGCTTCATTGCTGATCATTTTTCATTTTGTTGCCTTTCCCTTGGAGTTCCCCATGGCTAAAATAAACCTGACCCGGCATTTCTTCAAATCGTCGAAGAAGTTTTTACATACATTCGGTTTTTATCCCAATCCTAATTAATACTGTGACTGCTTACGTATTATGTGTTTTTGCAGGCATTTTATTTTTCACACAAACGACCTCAAGGTTATCCTCCTCACTAACAAAGTAGTAAGAACCCAATTAAAAACCATTGAGATTTAATCGAACTTAGCGAGATTTTTCCGACTTTTGGCTCTTCCTTGCGTCGATTGGACTTCGATTTGGATGCCACAATCATTCGGCAAGGCTTGTAATCCTCTTAAGCAAAAAAAAAAAATTAACCGCTTTCAGCTATTCCTGTGCGATGCTCATCCGACATCTTCCCGAATAGTATTTCAACAGTTTTAGAACAGTTTTCTGACCACCTAAACATGCTGCATAGGTTAAAGCAAAGCCATTCGGAAGACATTAGTTAGAGTCCGGTCTAGAACATATACATGAACGAATATGTGTCCGAGAAATCGACAGAAACCATCTGACAATCACAGTATGAGGTGAATATACTCATATCACTCCGGTCGAAATACATATATCCGTCTCCAAAACTCAATTTATCACTTCGAGGCTCGTTATTTCAGTCGATAGAAGACATACAAATGAAATCTCCGCGAAAGAGAATATTCCAGAAATGTATTTAAAAAAGTTAAGAAGAATGAATTTTTCGTTGGTATAATCCGTTCCGGAAGAATTCTACTTTGAAGCCGGTACAATAAAGATGAATGAGTCGTAATACTAAATATTTTATTGACTGATTCCCGGTACTTTTCTAACAGATTATTTAGAATACTTACCGTTAGTTGCGTAGTGGATGGAACACTGGGAGTAGCGGTGGGCGGTGGACCATTTTTATAGCTAATAGCACGGCGTCGCTCCGGCTCGCCTTCAACATTGCCCAATGATTCAGCGAACCCCAATTCGTCGCCTAAACTGAAACCTAAACAGCAAATACATTTTGAGGTTAGCAAAAAAGTAGGTAAAATGAAACACTTTGAAGTTTGTTGAAGTTTGAGTGTTCAGAGATTCATATATATATTTACATACTGCTTAGGTTAAGCTTATTAATAAATAATTTTTGCATAAAAAAAATATTATATTTTAATAAATCATTCAAGACTATTGGAGACATCCAATCGCAAACTCTCAAATAATCGCGTCAATCATTAATTCAAGAAGATTTACTATTATTGGCACGTGGGTTTTATCGGATTGACTGGAGACAGCAACGTGTTCAAAACGGCCAGATAGAATGAAAATACGTCAGTCCGAAGAACTTAAAAAGCTGACCCATGACGGCAACGGTGCATACTCATGTAGAAACGGGAAAAGCGATCTGGCGACTGACGTTCAGTGAAGAAAGCTCAGCAGATAGCAAATCAAAATTATGAAACGTTAAATCAGCTCATCATGAAATGCTTCGAATAGCGATCACCCATCACAATTCGAGCTATTCAAATACGACTTTGAAGGACTGACAGCTTCATTGCTAAATTTGGTCGTATGAATGTATACCCGACTATAGGAACTTAAATGTGTTCTACCCAATCAGCAAAAAGAGGGACCTCATAACCTGCGACACTTATCCAATTATATGCGGATAAGACTGCTGAATATTTATATGCGATATACAGCATAGAGTTTTGCATGAAAGATTAAACTGATTGAGCCCATCGTATAAACCAGATGTTCAACATTCACCAAGCGCCAGGTCATAGAAAAAACTTCGGTACCAAGCAGTACGATAATAAACAAATGTGTCAGGATGACTCTTCATCGTGTGAATTTTTCAACCTATTGCTGGAGAGCATAATAATAAGCTCTGCTGAACTAAACAGAATCTTCTGCAAGAGTGTACAGCTGCTGGCATATGGCGATGATATTCATATCGTTCGCCTCAACAACAGAGTTCTGGATAAAAAATCAATGGATAGGGGAAAATAGTTGAATGGATTTGCTGTGAATCACCTCTTTTGATCAAACAACAGTCGTGACTCTCTCGCCACTAAGTAAGTCTCATTTATGGATTGGCAGCGGAGTGTGCCGTAGACTATAGAACGATTACCTGTATAAGATAGAGAATATGCCGAAATTGATATAATTCAACAGATAAAAAGACAGCAGCTTTCACAGTATTCGAAGCAGTCATCGCTGCTAGAAGCAGTAGAAGTGAACTCCGTTGTAAAAATCAAGTTAAGTTGGACTTGGCGCCAAATAGTAAGTAGAAAAAGCGACAAGCGCATTATTTTCATTTAGGCCATAACCGCGTAAGTGGTGCCACCCAATTCGAGAATAGTCGAAAATAAGTCGAGGTAACATACCTGCAGCCGACAAAGGTCCCCCACAAGAATACACGCGAAGAGTTCATGAGTGAATTTATCATCCCCAAGGGCCTTTAACTATCTAAGTTGTCATTTTCTTCAAATTTAGTATTTATAAATTTTATGTCTCTATTGTTTTCCCCGCATCTCATCATTTCCGTGTAAAACTTGATGAATCGGAAACGGCGGCATTCAGGTCGACCAAATCACTCTATAATTAACAGCAATCGATATGCACTTATCGCTGCTGCTGTGGTGGAGATTCGTCTGACGCATTGGCATAGCCATTATAATTGCCTCATACACGTTTAGATGTACGTGTATGTATGTATTGTATTTGATTTTTACCTTTCGTTGCTGTTTGCTTTTTATATTTTGCAATTTTTTTTTATATCAAAAACATAAAGTCATTGACATTGGCATAAATACATTATAAAGTAGTTTTGTTTTTGTTTTTTTTTTTTTCTACTGTAATTAACTCGAGTTATATTTTGATGCGATTTTTGTGTTTTACTTAATGGATTCTTTTTTTGCATTTTGCCATTTTGTCTAACATAAAATTTTCATTATCATGTGTTATGTGTTTATTAAAAAAAAAAAAATATTAAATATATTATTATACTCAACTGTGAAAATGTATTAAAGAAGCATCAAGTAAAATATTGATTTCTAAAGCGTGGTGAGTTTTCAGTTTTCGAAAAAGTCAACCGAATAAGTTAATTAGGATTTAACGAATACAGTGAATATTCGATATACATAGCACACACTCGTATACATATAAATATTTTGTTTATTTTTGTCAATTTTCAATTCGAGAAAAACAGCGAACCTAAATGTGTCATAAACATAAATAAAGGGTATTTTTTTTTTCAATGAGAGATCTTTTTTTTGACAACTGTTACTTTATTTATACTCAGTTTCGCCCAGCAGAGTCGGTAATCCCAGCGACCATGAATCGATTTCGCACCAGGTTTACTCTAGCGGATAATACGCTTACTCAGAGACGTCGTACGGTGCGCACCGAAGATTTTGCAGCTGCTGTGAAACAGAGTATCGAAGAAGACCCCACTGAGTCCACCCGCCATCGCGCAAACCAATTGAAGCTGTACCCATCCAATTTACGGAAAATTTTGCGGAAATATCTTGGTTTGCAGACTTACAAAATTCAACTAGTGCAAGACTTGAAGCAAAAATACCATCAAACGAGTAGCACGTTCAGTGATCAAGCCCAAAAATTAAATGTTAATGGATCAAGATTTTTCGAAAAATATTGCTCAGCGATAAAGCTAACACTAGGTACGATAATAAACAATTTTCTTATATTAAAAGTGTTAATAATCCCCGCGCTATTGTTGTGACGTCGCTGAATCGATTTTCGGTCGTGCTACTCCACCAATTTGTGATGTGCTTTATCATTACTCTGGCGTAGACACCGCTTACTCGATTATAGCCGAGTTAACGGCATTGCGCCAGTAAATGCTTGTTTTCTGTTTGGTGCTAACTGGAATTACCAAGTACAGCCCAAGCCTTTCTCTAGCTGTTCTCTCCACTGCATCGAAAGCTTTCAAAGCTGGAGTGCTTTCATTCATTCGGATGATATGACTGGCTAGCAGTTTATCCGCTGTTTTCAAATTCGCTCAACTATGTCAATGGCGCCGTATACCTTGCACAGCTCATCGTTCCATTGGCCAAGGTATATGCCGTTGCCCAGCACAGGGGATCATAAATCTTAATCGAAACCGTTCTCTTTAAAACTCCTAACGCGGACTCATCAGATGTTGTCATCGCTCATGCTCCCACAATATGTAGCAGCACTAGAACGATGAGTGATTTATAGAGTTCAGTCTTCGTTCGACGAGAGAGGACTTAACTTCTTAATTGCATACTCAGTCCAAAGTAGTATCTGTTGCCAAGAGTGATTCTGCGGACTGTCGGACTCGTCAATCGTGGCCGAATTACTTACATCCTCAAAAAGGCACTGTTTGATGTGTTCTATGAGCGAAGGGAATTACTGGTTCATATTGTTTAAAAAATTAAGCCGACAATCATTTTACAGTTAATTTGCAACGCTATAGAGCCGGGATTTAGGGATTTTTTGTGGCTGAATTATGGGATATTAATGTGGACGACCTTTGATACACATGCCATATAACCAACGAAACAATCAATTTATTGAAGGAAACTTTTCGTGAATGTGATTGCTATTGCTGGCATACGGAGCCAATCGCTGCAAAGAGTGATTGAAAATTAAGCCGGAATCTGTTCGAGCCAGCCGCGATGGTCACTTGCCCGAAATCGTAATTAAAAAATAATGGCAAGTCCTTATCTTTATACTAAGACTTGGTCACAAAATTATTATTTCTTATTTCAGGTTTTCAAGACCCTTTGTCTAAAAATAGCACCCTTTATGTGCGTCCGGAATTATAATATACAAAAGTAGTTCGTACCAGAGCGTGAGTGATTGTAAGTGAAATTTATTATAAAAAATATCACTTAACTGTAAATAATTATTTCAAATAAATAAAATATATACAAATAGATTTTTGCGGATTGTTAAAATATTTATTTAAATTATTATTATTTTTTTTTCATTTGCAGCATTTACCTAAACCAAAATGTGCTTTTAGGCCGCCCAAATTCCTTACACGAAAGAGTCCAGATTTTTTGAAGTTACAATTGAGTATGAAACCAAATTCAGATTCAAAAACGCATGTCCCGCAAGCCAATCCTAAAAACAAACACAGAGAAAGGATATTTTTTATACAGAAAGTTTTAGTTTTTGCTTTTTGCCTTTAAAGAGGAAAGCGCAATTAATTTGTTAGTATGCAAAGATTGTTAAATGATCGAGATGAAATGGGGAAATTTAATTAAATGATTGATGGAAGAAGTGTATGAAGTGGAAAGGAAGAATGTTTAGCACGGAGTTGTGTTAGTAAGTGATTAGATTGCAAATTTTATACGGATGTTATTATATGGAATTATAGAATTTCTGTGTTGTTTTCGAGATGAGATAAATACGCCCACATGCACGATATTAATACACAAAAGTCATAATATATATAAACACATATATGATTTAATACTTCTACGAAAAACTCCACCATCAGGAAACCTCAAACGATTTTTCACATTTTTAATATAATATTCTGTGATTCGTATTTTTCATCCTTCCACCCAGTCCCAAATTAAATTTTTCAAACATATAACAAGCCGCGGTGACCGAGTGGTTAGCATTGCGTACTGCCATTCGAAAGGCTCGGGTTCAAATCACCGTGCGACCAACATCCAAGAGTTATAGAAAATTAAGTTAAATTCTCGAATTGTGGTCGTCGCTCAGCAGGGAATGTCAACCCCTACGAGTGTACTTCTGACTTGAGATAAAGCTCCTCATAAAAACAAACCATCAGCCGTTCGGAGGCGGCTTAGTATAAACCGTAGGTCCCTCCATTTGTTGAAAAAACATCAAGGAAAAAAACCACCAATTGGAGGCGGAGCTCGGCCTCAAATCGCTCCAAGGGTTACAAAGCGCCAATCATATACGTGTATATAACAAGAATAATTAAAACTATGTTTTCCTGACTAACAGTACTTAAAATTATTATACTATGGTAACACGTTTAGAACACGATTTTTCATGTAGCCCCACAAAAAAGTTCAACGGTATCGAAATCGCACGATCTCGGTGACCAATTGACATAGCCAAGAGGAGAGATTACGCGACCCGAAAATTTCTCCCGCAATAAAATCATATTCGCTCATGCGACATCTAACACCGTCCTGTTGAAACCTTGGAAACCACCTATGGTCCAAGTTGTGCTCTTCAATTGCAAGGGCATTCTCGCCGTTGTCGTTTTCAAAGAAGTAAGGCCCAATCACATATCCGGACCAAAGCATACTCCAGACAGCAAGATTTATTTTCCGTGTAATGGTCTCTCTTCAATTATTTGACGATTCTGCGAGCCCCAAATATGACAATTCGACTTATTTACATATAACCCAAGTAAAAAATGTAACTCGTAAATAAAGTAAATTTTTTTCGAAAAATCGCCGTTCACTGCTTGTTGTTCAAGCACCCAATCTTTGTATGAACGGCGTTGTAAAATGGTCACCTGGCTACAATTATTGTGAGTGCAAGTGCAAAATACGCCATAATTTGCCGTGAGAAACTCCCAGCTCTTGAAAACTTTGAAAAAATACACATTTGGGTTTTTAATTTTACCAATTGGATTGGAGTTTTTGCTCTTCTTCTGCCTCCCCCGGCAGTATTCGTTGTTGCGTAAGCGTGAATGAACTTAAATCTTATGTAAAACTTTTCTCCCGAAAGCTCCTAACGCCGACTCATCAGATGTCGTCTATGTATTTGCCTCCGAAATTTAATGGAGTTTTTTCTTTGTTCTTGTAGAGAAGATCTAAATTTTTAATTGCGTACTCAGTATAAAGTAGCACCTATAGTAAAAAATGATTCTGCACTGGGTTTCCAGGCTGAGATTGTTGTTGCGACCGCAACTAGAAAAATTAATTTTCAATAGTTTTTGTTGTTTAAAATTATGACTTTGGTTTCAAACCCAATGGGAAAGGTTTTAGAGCCATACAGGAGGCAATCAAGAAACTGTGTCGAGAAATCATAGTGAATATTACTTAAGCTCCAGAACACACTGTTTTGGAAGGCAATGAAAAGGCGGTCGAGCAAGATCGCGCTGGCACCCGTGGGGAAACTGTTAACTTAGCATTCTTATGCGTGTAATTAGAGGGCATCCATCCCTGAAATATGATATCCATCAGCTAGGTAAAGTAGAGTCAGCTGTGACTGGAGTACCATCTTTGCGAATGTCCTGCGGATTCAGCCGAGACATCACTTCCTTTACGCAGCTAACAGCTCTCACCTCAAGAAGGAGGGCATGCATAGTTTGATGAAACTAAAATCAATTTATAAGTTCGAGCAAACTTTTTGCAAAGCTTTTTTGGAATACACGACCACTATGAGCTTGCTAAGGCGCAGCCAACCAGCCATATGATTGCTGTGTGGGAACTATTCATTGTGGAATTGTGGAAATCATCGAAATCGGATGACTATAAAACTTTTGATTTTTCCTACCGTATCGGAGTTTGCATCTGGGAGTTTTTGGTCCGTAGTGCTACTCACATCACAACAACCCTTCCTCTATTTTGATATTTACGCAGTTTTCTCAGCCGTTTTTTCTACACAAATAAACTCCAACATTATTTTGAAATAAATTTTATTCGCTTCGCCCATCTTTCTTTTAATTATTCATGCGTATGTCTCTTCTGCGGCTCTAAAAAAAATTGTTTGAGATACTTAATCTTTACTTCGATAATCTCACCTTCGGACACTAAAAAAAAATCAAAGTAAACAAGCCGATCAGCATTGCTGATAGATTCGCCAACACGTACGGAAATTTGAAGTGAAGGGCGTGGGCTATCAATTATCTAAAATAACAGTTATACACAAAGTACGGCGCACTCATGTGTATGACTGTGAACCGTGATTGTGGCAGCTCAAACACTAACAAATTAAAAGTTTTGAATCTTACAAATTACCTTAGCAAAATATGTGAGGTACTTTTGAATTGCAATTTGGAGAATTCGTCGAAAAAAACGTAGACAATTGATTTTTTTTTATTTGCGACAAAATTAGCTTACACAAACAACTACCGAAGTACGAATAAGTTACTGGTAAAATGTTGATATATTTGTAGTGATGTCGTGTTGTTTCACACTCGTAGCTATGTACTTGTACATACACGTATATATGTACAGGCACAGATAGCCGATGGTTGCTGCGGGAGTTCATTGCAATTTCTGTTGTTAATTGAAAGAAACTGTTGTTCCCTAACGGTTTCAGTTATTTTACTTTTCTCAAAAAAAACGCACGGGCTGCACTTGAGCTGTCATACCGCCAACGTTTAGTATGCACATGCATATATACATACATACATAGTACTTTTTTGAAGTCAGAAGGGCAAGGTTTGTCACGATGTGTGGCAAAAATATTTGGGTTAGTGTGTTCTTGATTATAGAGTTATGAAAAGAACAAAAAAAAAAATATGGAAACGTATTCATAATTTTAATTGATTTGTTAAATAAAAAAACTTCCTGCATTACAAAGCATTGCTGAGGAATAGGCAAACATAGAATTCATAAGTAAACCAGTGACACAATAATTTAAAGGTAATTTTATTATATCTTCCCATTAGGTTTCATGGTATAGTCTTTTTCATGTCTTCCACTTCTTTAAATAACATTTACCACAGAGCCAATTTTCACAGTCCTCTTTTGAGGCCAACTTCTCACCATTAAGCGCCTTCGCCATGGACAGGAAAAGATTGCAATCACTTGGTGCCAGGTACGGACTATAAGGTGGGTGCATGAGGACCTCCAATCCGAGCTCCTGGAGCTGCTGGCCCACCACCAAAGACGTGTGTGAAACACAATTCGGCCTCTGTTGGTCAAAGATGGCGTCTTCTGGATGAGTGCTGCCTTCAAGCGGTCCATTTGTTGGCAGTAGAGGGCCGAATTGAGCGTTTGGACATAGGGCAGCAGCTTGTAGTGGATGATTCCTTGCCAATCCTAAAAAACACACAGCAAAACCTCGTCAATCCGGTCTTGGCCACCGTCTGGGCCGCTTCCATCGGTCCATCATATTTTTTGCGTTAGTTCGTGTGGCATCCAAACATCGAGCTTCTTTTTGAATCCAAGATTATACAAATGGCTCCAAACGGTTTTCTGGCTTTTCTTTAGTTCTTCAGCTATTAAATAAGCCTTCCGACGCGTGGTGCATCGCTATAAGTCGTTCTAGACGATTAAATTACACCACATTTTTAAATCTAAACCAACCGCTAAATATATTGAAATGTGGAAATATAGTCAATCAGTTAGTTAAAAAGCTTTGCTTCTCCACGGAAGATTCCTCTAATCTTTACAGATTCTCAAACCACTTGGCATATTTTATGAAGTTTAAGATACTAATGATGCTCTTGGAAACCAGAGTTAAAGGACGAACGAACAAGAAATTTTTAATAATACTATAGCGTTCAAGCAATTCCTCTTCTTCTACGCCACAGCAGCTGTGGCTGAAATAGTTTGCGAATCAGTCCATACCTCACATCACGATGACCACCTATTACGCGGATTGATATGATTATGGAAGTACTGTGTTGCCCGTGGTTTCACTCAGCAACCTTCTGGTGAAAGCTAGAATGCTAGAAAAAAAGGTATGCTCACGTCATGTGCAAAATTGACCGCCCAGCACTCTTTGGGATATTCTTAAGACCAGGAACCCAAACCACGGACATTTCGAATACATTCGAGGAAATCTACGACTATAAATTTCGGTAGAAAAATTAAAAAATGTCATCTCTATCCAATTTATTTAAAAAGCATCTAGAAATTCCTTTACAAGTGAAACTACTTTGTGCAAGATTTGTATCATGAGTGCACCATACTAACATGTGACCTTTAAAGCACACTAAACGAGAATGTAACTACATTTTAAAAATGGCTTGACTAATTGCTGGCTGCTTCTTCGATATTCTGCTCCACAGTAGTAATATTGTAACATCTTCCGTACACACTGTGGTGCGAAATTGATCCATCGTTGCTCGAAGTATCGACTATGCCTACCGATTATTGGAAGCACTACGTGAGCCGAACCTTGTTCCAGAGTAAGTCTGTTCATCATGAAATGGTATGGCAAATTGAGTACAAATC